GGTTTGTGGAGACCAAGCAGTGGTGCAGGATGGCAGGTGGTGTGGGGGAGCATGAGGTATCAGAGAGGACAATGGAGGGGGAGGGGGGATGGATGCATGTGAAAATGGCAGAATGACACCCATCACGCTGTGCTAACTTAAAAACTGGGGCAATCACATTGTCGAGACATTAATCCCTGTGAGGAAGTCACTACCTTTCAGTGTTTATACCAGTTCCCTAGCTCTTAAACCTTTCCATCCCCTCTTCTGCTCTTCCCTGAGTCTTAAGGGTTGTGTTGTAGACATATAACTTGGGGCTAGACGCTGCTGCATGGTAACTTGTTCTCTGTGTTGAGGTCTGCCCCTCCCAGCAGAGCTGTAGCCATTTTGTTCCATGCCCTCCAGCTATTTCATATTGTTGCTGTAACATGCCTGTCAATCATTGACACAGAGAAATAACTTGACTCAGAGCAGGGTCATGCTGACCACACACCGTTAGGTTTTGTCTGAGGTTTGTTAAGATTAACAAAGCTTTATGTAGGACTCATCAAGTTAAAGGTCAATATGAACTGTTCTGTCTAAAGTGCCTGGAGTCAGATCTGAGCAGTGTTCAATACTTCCTGTGGTTTTGTTTTTCCTTCATAAGCCTGCCCTGAGAACAGACTGGCACCACAATTAGGTTCTTGATTCTTTTTTCAGTCCTGGTCTGATCGGATAAGGATGTGTATTCAATAAACCATTCTTGCTTAGCTGAAACTGATGTACATATGGTTTGTATGGCAACTCTTGATCCTCAACACACAGCATTTTGACCAGTTGTTGATTTCTTTTTGTTTGTTTGTTTGTTTGTTTTTTGAGACAGGGTCTCTCTGTATGTAGCCCTGGCTGTCCTGGAATTCACTCTGTAGACCAGGCTGGCCTCGAACTCAGAAATCCTGCCTCTGCCTTCCAAGTGCTAGGATTAAAGGCTGAGCCACCACTGCCCGGCCAGTTGCTGATTTCTATAGTAGCCTCCACCTGCTGCAGAAAGAAGCTTCTTTGTTACAAAACGTCTTGTGGTGTTTCTCCGTTTGGACTCATTGCTTAGATTGTTTTGGTTAAGGATTACTCAGGTTCAAGCTTGACTTCAAGGATTTGCTTTCAACCTGGTTTATGTGTCTGATGGAGAATTAGCCACAGAACTTCTGTAAGCTGGCTACAGAGCAGACAGCTTGCACAGTAGAGGGAGGGTGAGTGGTGAGCAGCGTGTGTTAGGGAGCAAGCCAAGGGAGTAAAATGCAAATCCACTGATCAGATCACCTAACCTCAGAAGAGAAGTCAGTTTGAACTATTCTTTTGGGAACTTAGAATAACCTTCCCACAAGGTGAGTGCCATTAGTGGAATGTGTGAAAATGTGGTCTGGGATCCCTATGGGTTATCTTAAAGGCTGTTTAGCACACTATCTAATCTTAGGTTGGGAAAACTCTCCCATACTGACAAATAATGCATCATTAAAAAAATAATAATTAGGTCATTCCTGGTGGTGCACTCCTTTAGTCCCCGCATTCGGGAGGCAGAGGCAGACCAATCACTGGGAATTCAAAGCCAGCCTGGTCTATGACATGAGTTCCAAGACAGCTAGGGCTGTCACACAGTGAAACCCTGTCTAGAAAAACAAATCAAACAAGAAAGTTAAGAACTGGAGCTGGAAGTGTAGTTGGTGGTAAAGTGCCTTGCCTAGAATCTGCAAGGCCAGGGACTGTGATGGTGGAGTAAGCCTTGGATTCCTCGTGGCATTTGAAAGGCAGAGGCAGAAGTGGATCTGTTCAAGGCCAGCCTGGCCTACAAAGTAAGTTTCCAGCCACTAATAAATATTAAGACCCCTCTCTCCAAAATAAATAAATATTCATAATTCTACCATACTTAGCCCTAAAATTTATAAACAAACTTGAGATATTGATTTATATAAGGAAAAGAAGGTCAGATGACACATTAGTATAAGATTAAATTTTAGTAATTTTTTGTTTTGTTTTGTTTTGAGGACTGGGTTTCTCTGTGTAGCCCTGGTTGTCTTAGAACTTGCTCTGAAGACCAGGCTGGCCCGGAACTCACAAAGATCTGACTGCCTCTGCCTCTCAAAGTGCTGGGATTAAAGTTGTGCACCATCACTGCCCAGGTAATTTTTAGTGATTTTATTAGGTTCTCAGAAGCATTGAACTTTTCAAGTTTTATCTGATAAAAATGATTTGTAAGGTGTCTTAACTTTTACTGGTTGCAAATGGCTCTCTTAGAAATGAACAATTTCACCGTGCAGTGGTGGCACACGCCTTTAATCCCAGCACGTGGGAGTCAGAGGCAGCTGGATTTCTGAGTTCCTGGCCAGCCTGGTCTACAGAGTGAGTTCCAGGATAGCCAGGGCTACACAGAGAAACCCTGTCTCGAAAAACAAAAATAAAAACAAAAAACAAAAACAAAAACAAAAAAAGGAAACGAACAATTTCAATCAGTACTGGTTTGTTTTTTCAAAGACTTTTAGAGGTTAGTTAAGAAGTGAAGAGTCATGGGAAGTGAGTTTCTGTATGTTTTCCCTAGTTTGAAGATCCCAGAGCCTCTGATGTTGTCTCAACACTAAACTATATTTGTAGAGTTGGTATACAGAGGGTCTGTTCTGGATTAGGGCTCAGAATACCTAAGGGATTTCCTTTTGAAGTCCAGGGGTCAGACATGACAGGTACATCTCCTCTAACTTTGGAACTAGAAGCAGCGTGAGACCTTTTACACTGCTTCCGTAGGAGTGCAAAGGACCTGTCAGACAACATCCATTGTGCAAAAGACCAGACATTTGTTATTCTATTGCTTCCCATGACAAATCAGTTAAACAAAATCACAAGATTTAATGAATTCTGATAAAGACTTCTATTTTTAAATATTTAATAATGAATTTAAAAATACATGGAAAACAGACCTCAATGCCAGGCTTCATAGAACAATTAAAACTAGTGATCATACCCTTTAATTTTTCGATTTTTCCATTACTAATGAGTTAAATTAGTGTGATTGAAAATAAAGATATTTTAGAATGAAAGACATTTAGTTTCCCTTAAGTATCTCAGAGAAACCTTGGGACTTTAGAAGATGATGTTATTTTGTTAATGGAAGACCATTTAAATAATGAAAATATGGCTGTGTTAAGACGGAAGATATACATGAAACACTATCACACACATTTTGTGCATATAAACTGAGCAAAGCTTTTTATTTGAAGGATGGGAAAATTAAAGCAATGCAATCTTGCATATTTCAGTCACAAAGAACAAAACTTTGAAAGTTTTATAAAGTATCAAGCTATGAGCAATGTAATCTTAACATATATACATATTCCTCACAGGTACATATGGGATATGGAGTTAGTCCCATAAGTTCTTATTGAGGGAATATCAAAATCAGTATCAGTTGGTAGAATGCTTGTTTAGTATGCATCAAGCCCTGAGTTTCATTCCCAGCAACACAGGAGCAGGGAGGGTGGGTGGAGGCCAGATGATCAGGAATTCCAGGACATCTTTGGCTATATGGCAAGTTCAAAGCCTGTCTGGGCTGTATGGAGTATCACTCTTAAACTAAGTCAAAAACAAAACCCTTGGATTTCTCAGTGTTTCCCCTCTACAAATAAAAAATTTAAAATTGGGACAAGGATTTTTTTTTTAATTTAGCTTGCGATATATTTTCTAAAAATAGCACAATTATAGGAACATTTAAATAATAGCTTACATTTTAAGTAACGTGTTGGAATCCTACCACCTGGCATGTCTTGGCCCCATTCCCAAGACTGCCTACACCTTTAAACCCAAGGTAATTTACCACTTTTCTTCTTCCTCCAACACGACGTCAAGACCGAAGTTTTAATACACTTAAATGATACGAGATGCTACTGTATGCTAGTAAAATAAAATTCTGGCGTTCCAAAAGGTTGTTTAGCACCGGATTCGCAAATCCAACTGGACTACCCATTTCGTGTCATGAAACTTTGTAGGGAGGGTAACGAGTATGAAGCCTCTACCTCAGCTTGGATTCCCCGTAGCGATGTCATCGAACTTAAAAAAAAAAGTAATTTCTTCTAACAGGGACAGCTCTTTGTGTGGCAGGGCGCAGCTGCTGTGACAGAATGAGCAGGCGTGCCTTTGGCAAAGCCAGATCTTGTCACAGAGTGTGAGCTGTCCCAATTTCAATCAACCGTCAACGCTTCATTGAGGGTCAAAATGGGTCGGCCTCAGGCTGGCGGTTCCAAGAGCCTCTGCCGATGAGCCGGGTTTTCCCCTCTAGACGTTTAGCCACCCCTAAGGAAACGCTAGGAGGGCAGGCCGGTGGTGGGGTGCAGACAGGTGCGTCCTCTGGAACTACACAAAGGGCCGGCGCCACCGCCACTGAGCCCCTAGCAACTGCACGCAAGCAGCGCTCGCGCGCTTTCCGCCGCCCGGCCGCGCTCAGGGCGGGAGGCTCGCCGGGAGGGCGGGGCGGCGCGCGCAGGTCGCCGGCGTAAGCGACAGACACCCTCGGGCCTGCTCGCGGACGCGGCCTGGGAAGCGCGAAGGCAGTTCTAGGTTCGGCGCTGCTAGCGTTGTAGGGATTTGTAGTCCGTGAGTCTGTGGGGCGCCTCCCCTCCGGGTAGGCCGGCCCAGGCGTCCCCGCCCTCTGCACGAGGACTTCCTGCCTCTGCTTAAACTACAACTCCCGTCATCCGCTGCGCCAAGAGCTGAAAGCGAAAACAAATTCTAGGCTGCGAGGTTGCTGCCCTCCGCCGGGCGCCCCTTCCCGCTCCCCGCCCCTCAGGCGCCCTCCCGCGAGGTGGGAAACGAGCGGCCGCGGCTTTCTCTCCGGGTTTCCTCGGTTCACGGCGTGGGGCGCGCGCGGGAGACGCAGGCCTCGCTTAATCTCAGCCGGGCGCGCCGCCGGGGCTTTTCTCGCCTCACACCGGTCGGGACCCGGAAACTTGTGGGGGCGGCGACCCCCGGGCTGCCCGCGGGCGCGTGTCCCTCCGCGGAGGCGGCCGCGTGCGGATGGCCATGCACTAGGTTGGGCTCCCCTATGCTCCGGGAGAGCGCCGGCCACCGCCTCAGGCCGCTGCCGCCGCCGCCTCTTCCTGCCGCCGCTCGCCGTGTCCGCGTCGGAGCCGGAGCCCGAGCCGCAGCCTGCCCCAGGCCTGGGCGTCGAGCAGCCGGCGGCGCGGCCATGTGGGGCTAGTCCGCCCCGCGCACGCTGCAGCGGACCGGCAACATGGAGGCAGCCGTCGGCGCGCCCGACGGCGTGGACCAGGGCGGCGTGGGGGCGCTGGAGGATGCGACGCCCATGGACGCCTATCTGCGCAAACTGGGCTTGTATCGGAAATTGGTCGCCAAGGACGGGTCGTGCTTGTTCCGGGCTGTGGCCGAGCAGGTAAAGGACCCGGGCCCGAGCGGGGCGGGCGCGGGGCTGGGTGCGACACGCCGCCCGCAGCTGCCTGGCCGCCCACGGCGGGGCTGCGCGTGGCTCGCTGTCGTCACAGCGGCCCATTGTAACGCTGGCACGGGACCGAGTGAGGACATCTCGGGCGGCCTGCTCGCAGCGTGACCGCCAGGGACCCAGCGACATGCTGTTTCTGAGTTGTGTTCCGCATTCACCTGCGCTCGGTTTTTTAGCAGCCCAGCGTTCCCACTAGTTAACCGCATGTTTACTGGAGGAGGTGCGGCACCCAGTGTGACTGCTTCACAATTTTTTTTTTTTTAACCTGTGCTGGACTTTGGAATGCGGGGTAGTCGGTCTCACCAGTGTCACTCGAAACAGGAGGCCAACTTCGCTGTTTATGGAAAGCAATCTTCCTGTATAGGGTCTTCTCAGTGACTTCTCTGAGTAGGTCCCACACTAGATTATGTTGGAATCGGGCAAGGTGTACTAAAGAATTGACTCTTCTAAAAGTCTTTTAGTTATAGGACGGATTTTCAGTCTAGGCACATACCGGCTTTTGTCTTTTTCCTTACTGGTCAGATTTATTCCCAGTACAGAGCGAACATTTTATTAAAGAGAAGTCAGAACTCAGGAGTGGGAGGAGTTCTAGGGAAGAATACTGAAGATTTTTTTTTTCTTTTTTGGGAGCGAGCCCTTTTCCCCGTGTTATGTAATCAGATGTAGGTGTGGGGTCACCAGAACCCATCCTATATTTGAAGACTAGCTACTAAAGTAGTTGGATTAAAAAAAGTTTTATGTTACTGCTCTGGTGTGTATTTCATACCATTTACAGTTTGCTTTCCTTTGGCTTAATCTGGAGTTTTTATGGTTTTGTTTTCTCCCCCCCTTTTGTGCGCTAACTAGCTTTTAAGATTTCTGTTTTAGAATCACCAGGCTATGTATTTTTCAGAGGTATGTAAATATAGAACACTTTGCATTTATGATAGGTATGTCCATTGAAACATTCTCTGTGACGCTTCCCAAACCAGCCTACCATTTGACATCTCTCCTTTCAGAAATTTAGGAAGCTCCAATGTGGGTGCTGTGTTTCCAGCCCAGTCCTTACTGTAGGTAAACAGTCTGTTCCATTTGTGAGTTTTCCAGATGGAGAAGATTCTGCCTCCTTGGACTCCAGCACCTTTAGGAGCTGAAGAGGCGAAGTGAAGTCACCCTTGGTGTCTGTTTATACTGCCTTAGTGTTAGCAAGTTTATGTAGGAGGAGGTAGAGGTTAAGGTTTGGAGTTGAGTTATCCAGTCCCTATTTTAATTGAAACAGAAAGGTGTATTTCTGCCCTTGAGACGTGCCACAGATCCATGGGGAATAGAACAGAAGTTCGTGGGGACTCAATATCTGTACAGTGGCAAGAGCTAGTTGCACTAAGAGCTCATTGATATGTGTAAGCCCTGTTTTTGCCTTGGGATCTGGGTTTGTCTTAAAGGAACTAACATTTGCACATTTGGGGACTTTATTTTGAGTATATTGAGCCCAGATCTAGGGGAAGCTTAGTGTTTCAGTAGACACAGACTGAAGTGGTGGTGAGAAAGAGTGTGTTGTCAACCTCGGCTGCCTTTTAAAAATCTGTAGAAAGGATTTGTTTTTTGTGGAATTTCTTTTTTGCTGAAAATTTCAATAAATATTTTTAAAGAATCAGGAAGCTTAAATAGCAGTCCTAAGAGAGGAGACTTCACTTGAGAGTAGCCTTTCTCCTTCAGATTACCTGATTTAGATATGCTTTTTCTTTTCTTTTTTTGTTCTTTTTTTTTTACACTTGTGGATTTGGGCCTGCAGGAAGCCTGACCTGAATCAGCTCCTAGCCTTGTAGCTAAAAATAGGGCACTCTTAGAGGACTTGCTAAAACAGTGTCTCAGCCTTTCCCTGTGTTTATCATTACCTTGTCTTAAAGCTCTACCTTTAGCCTATTTTCATGGAGCAGCATACCAGACCATTTGAATTTTGAGTGTCCAGGGACTTGAGAAGTAATTTACTATTTAAAGAGTTTTCATTTCAGTCTTGCTTTTCTTGCATTGTTTGGCTTAGAATATCAAAATATTCTACACTTTATGTACATTGATGAGAGTTTTGCATCTGGGTAGCAGGTTCAGGTTGATGCCACGTTCTAAAATCTTTGTTAAAAGGAGAAAAAAAAAAAAGAGATATTCCTGACATAGTTGCTGATGAGAAACAAGCTTTACTAATTTCTGCCTGCCACCTGTTGTTAGGTGAATGGCTTTAACACTTTGCTGATGGTAGGCAAGCCCTATCAGATGACACTGTGGTGCACTCATAGTAATAATGCTTGATTCATAACAGTGTCTAATGAAGCTACTGGGAAAGATAGGTTGCCAAATGTCATTTGTTGAAATGGCAGACAGTTGGTGTTTTTAAAAATACATGGATGATTCTTTTAGAGTGTATAAGACTACTTTTTAATAATGTCCTAAAACAGTAAGGAAGGCTTACTTAGTTAAGCTGAAAAACAGCTGGTAAATTGAAAAGTTAACCCCAAAGGGCGCATCTTTGCTTTTTGGCTTGCTAGACCATACTGACAATCAGGGCAAATTGCATCTGTAGTTCTTGTGTGTAAATGAACCTTGGTTGTTATCCAGGAAAGGTGTAAAATGTGCAGCTGGATCCTCTCTTTTTTTTCTTAAATTCTCCTCACTTTAACATTAGAGAGATTCAGTTGGAGTTGTGACTCTTAAAGGTACATCCTCTTGTAAGGATATTTTGAAGTCATGCTTTATTTCAAGTGGGTGATGGTGTGGGGATATGGATTTTAACCCTGAATTTGGGAGTACTGGGAATACCTTCATTTTAAGATGCTTATTCATAATAGTATCTTAATCTCTTTAAACATGGTGAAAGTATTGGAGATTAGCATTTTATATGAAATTTAGTTTGTTTCATTTCAGAGCTCAAATTTTGATAAAATTCCAGTGAAGGTTTTTCTGTCTGTATTTTTGTTGAATTGATTATTTAGGGGAGGTTACAGATGAGAGGTCTGAACATACTTTTTGGTTGGTACTTTATGATTTTGTTTGCATTTATTCATTTATTTATTTTTTTTGTGTGTGTGCCTGTCTTTGAATATACCACTGCCTATATGTGACAGTTTGTGAGCTCAAACTCAGCCAGGGCCTTTACCAGCTGAGCCATCTTGCTAGTCCTGGGTTTGGATTTAAGGACAAATGCACATCTGGTGTCACCCAGTTTAGCATGTCTGCTCATTTGGGTATTTTGAATTTTGTAAGCTTGGTAAAAACTGACACATAATTATTCTAAAACCACAGTGGGCTTACATTTTCAAATAAATCTGTTTTTGATGAAAATAACTTTTATTTCTTGTGATATTGGAGGTTGAACTAGGGCTTTGTATGTACTGGAATCTTCCATCGAATGATAATCTTTTTTTTTTTTTCCCCTCTCCCCAGTCAGTGTTTCTCTATGTAGCCCTGGGTGTTCTGGAACTATCTTTGTAGACTAGGCTGGCCTTGAACTCCCAGATGTGCCTGCCTCTGCCACCTCAGTGCTAGGATTGAAGGTGAGCCACCACCACATCCAGCCCCAGCGGATTTTTGATTTTGAGACAGGATCTCACTCAGTTGCTTGGACTGGCTTTGAGTTCACTTAGTAGACCAGGTGGCCTTTGAACATGAAAATATCCCACCATAGGCTTCCTAGTAGCTGGATTATAAGTCTGGGCCACCTGGTCTGGATCTCATTCCCTTTTATAACAAGCACAGAAGAGCCTCAGCATTCCTAGCAGGGATTCTATTCTGCTTCGTAAGAAGTAGAGTGATGGTAGCAGATTGGCAACAGAGGAAAGCCTCTCAGGAGCACAACATTGTCCTCAAAGGAGTGATTTTAATGATCTGTGGAGAAATGGTGACACATTCTCTATAGAATGACATTCTAGGGCTGGGAGGCAGAAGCAGGTGAATCTCCAAATTCAAGGCCACCAGGACAGTAAAGGCTACACAAAGGAACCCTGTCTTGAAAAACTTAAAAAAAAAACCAAAAAACAAAAACCATAAAGACATTAGGCTAATAGAGCTGGTTTTTATATGTCTGATTCACTGTTAGTGCTGTGAAAAGACATCATCAGGCAACTCTTACAAAAGCATTTAATTGGGGGCTTGCTTGCAGTTTCAGAGGTTTATTTAGTACATTATCATGGTGGGGAGGATGGTATGTAGGGAGGCACTGGAGGAGGAGCTGAGAATACATCATGATCTGGGGCTGGGGGGAGCCATGCCATGCTGAGCTTGGCATGAGTTTTTGAAACCTCACATCTCCTAATCCTAATACTTTCAAATAGCTTTACTCCCTGGTCACCAAGCATTCAAATGTATGAGCCTGTGGAGGCCATTCTTGTTTAACCCACTGGACTATCATGTCATAGTGCTCAGCGGAAGGAGTTAAAATGAATAAAGTTAAAATGAATGAAGTTACAGAGAGGGAATGGACAGGCTTAACTTGGTTGTCACATATTTTGGATGTGAAAGAATAGCATTAGTTTATCACTTCAGTTTGCCTTTGACAAAATGCTTAATAATGTGCTGCTTTTCTGTTCTAGGTATTGCACTCTCAATCGCGACATGTGGAAGTTAGAATGGCCTGTATTCACTACCTTCGAGAAAACAGAGAGAAATTTGAAGCGGTAATTATTAACCTCAGATATGATGGGTGCTTACTTGGATTTACATTTTGACCATTGGAAATATTCTAGTCTACATTTCATAGGCTAGACATTTTAAAGTAATTTTTTTCTGTGAGAGTTTCATAAATGTATATATTCATATTGTAATTTGATCATATCTATTTCCCTTGGACTTACCCTAACACATTCCCTGTCAATCTCATGTCTCTGTCTCTTTGTCTCTTTGTCTGTCTGTCTGTCTGTCTTTCATTCTTTCTTTTTCTAAAAAATAACCCATTGAGTAACTCCTCAGCTAGAGTGTGTTCTTGTGAGCCCTTCTCCTATCCATACTGGAATTTTGACTATTTCAATTGTGTGAGTAACCACTGTCTATGAGTGCAAAAAGTCTGTGTTGTGTCTAGAAGACAGCATTCCACAGTGCTCCTCTCCATCCTTCAGATCAAAGTCTTTTTGTTTCCTGGTCTTTGGGGGTGGGGAGGTTGATTGATGTAGATGTCTCATTTAGGGTAGATTGCTCATTCTCATCACTTTTACTAGTTATGTCTCTGTTGGTCTCTGGCAGTGCAGAAGGAAGCTTCTCTGACCCAGGTGACAACAAAGAGACACAGGTATAAGGCAGTTTGCTACATGTCTATTTAGCAAAGGGAACAGCTGTAGGTTCCCCTAGTGCCTGTGACCTTCCTAGCCATTGTTCAGAAGGAATGACTTCCCTTCGTGGAGCAGGTTTCATCTAATCAGAAAGCAGTTGGTTTTTCCCAAGACAGTCATGCATCTGTTGGACCAGTGGGTATATCTTGCCTGGCCAGTCAGTGTTGTAGCATTTGGGGATTCAGGGCTGGCTAAGACTAGTATTTTCTCCCCCAGCCGCCTACATAAATACTACCTCCTGGTATTACAAAAGCTAGCCAAAGAGAGAACGTTTCTTGGTCAGTTCTAGCTTTATTTCTTTCTCTGTGGACCTCAATTTCGATTTGTGGTATAGTCAAATGCAGGGTCTTGCCTCCTAGTTGTAGTGGCAGTGAAGAGCAGTGGCAGTGACGAGCAGTGGCTGTGGCCTGCATTTTTCCGGTCCCTCTGATGGCTCCCTGACACTGAGAATGTGTGTGTTAGAATGTAAGAGAGTGAGCTTTACAATGTGACAGTGTACGATTTGTAGAAGATGTCCTGATGTGGAAGCAGCTGTAGGTGTTGAGAGACGTCTGTAGACTGAAGAGGGCAGGTGATCTTACGAGTTACATGGAGCACTTTTGCTAAGTTTACTGTAAATTAACTAAAATTGGACTCAGTGGTCAGATGGGAACACTTTTTGGCACTTGCCTTAGTTAATTTTCTACTGCTTTGACAAAGCACCATACCTAGGTAATTTGTTAAAGAAGCTAAAAATTTGGGACTCACAGTTGTATAGGGTAGGAGAATTCATTGACCATCGTGGTTGGGAACAGGCAGACAGGTAGTCATAGTACTTAAGCAGTAGTGAGAACTTTTGTTTGTCTGAGGCAGGAGACAGAGCCCATTCCCAGTGAGACTCCTCCAACAAGGCCACAGACCCTACTCAAACAGTTCTGATTGGAGACTAAACATTCACAAATATGAGCCTGGGAGGGCCGTCATTCAAACCACCACAGCACTTTCAGATTTGTCAGTTGTTACAATGAAAGAAAAAAAAAAGTTGGGTATAGACTGAATTAAGTTATTTTATGATAGAGACAATAAAACTATATCATAAAACTCTTGATTGAAATTATCCGATTTCTGGTTCATTTGCCTGAACCCATGGAGCATTAACCAGATTAATCTGAAAGTGTTGCTTTGGTATTCCTCAGTTCAGAATGACATCTGCAGTAGCCTATAATTTTCTTTCCTCTCTTATTTGAAAGTCCTGTTTTATTTTCTTCCCAGGCTTTCTAAGAACTCACCCGTACTTACTACTATCTTTTCATTTAGCCTTCTACCCGGGTGCCCTGCTTCAGTTGGCTAGGTTCCTCAGGTCTTCCCCACAGTGGTCTTCCTTCTCATGCTACATGAGCACTCTGTGGTGGCTGCTCCATTGTGCCCATCCAAGGTCTAGCTAGCTCTCATCTTGAGATGAGAACCTTTCCCAGCAACATTTCTTTTTAAATCCTTGTACGTATTTATTGCCATTACTTAAGTATTTATACAGATACTCATATTGTGAGTATCTTTCAGCATTACTGATAAAGTTTAGGTGTATATAAAAACCCAGTGACTCAAAGTGAACTTTAACAGTAAACCTGCTGTTGTTTGGCATATTTCTTAGACAGTATTCATATTAGAATTAAAAAGCAGTGCATGTGTGTATAATGTGTGTTCAAGTACCTTAGCTAGAAGAGGGCATCAGATTACCTGAAGCTGGAGTTACAGGTTGTTGTGTACTGCCTGCTGTGAGTGCTAGGGATTGAAACAAGTTCTTCTACAAAAGCAAGACATGATTTTATCTGCTGAGCCACTTTTCCAGGCCCCTAATATATTTTTTTTTCTTACAGTTTATAGAAGGATCATTTGAAGAATATTTAAAACGTTTGGAAAACCCACAGGTATGTGTATTGTATTTCTGCTTGTGTGTATTCAAATATGTTAAAATTCTTTGACAGAAAATTAGTAGTGGTGTGTGTCACTTGAAGTGACTGTACCCTTTGTGTAGTGTTTAATTGAAAGATAGTTGGGTGCCTTGAGGCAGAGACAGGTGGATCTCAGGTCTACACAGAGAAATCTTGGCTCAAAACAAAACAATAAAATAATAAAAAAGAAAGTTGATTGGAGCTCTTAGAAGTTGTCTTGCTGTGAAGAGAGAGCCCTGTCTTCTGTGTTTGTCATGGCATATGAATGTAGCATACAGATCTGTAACTGTAATTCCATGCACAGATGATTTGGAATGATCTGTTAGGGTATATGTGCAGTTTGGACAAGATGAAGCTTCATTTCTTGAGGGAAATGAGAGCAGAGAGTTCTTCTGTGGGGTGCCATTTCTTGTGATCAGCTGGTGAAGGGAACAGAGACTTGGAAAAGAAGGGTGACAGTTGTGTCAACTTCTACCACTGAGTGTCAGTCATGCTGAAGAGAGAGCCAGTAACCTCTCTTCCTCCCTTCCTCCCTGCTTGAAAGGTTCCCACTAAACTGGGTTTAATCCCAGCACTTGGGCAGAGGCAGGTGGATTTCTGAGTTGGAGGCCAGCCTGGACTACAGAACAAGTTCCCAGAGCAAGTTCCAGGACAGCCAGGGCTACACAGAGAGACTGTCTTGAACAGTCCCCCTACCCCGACCCCTCCAAAGCCTCTCACTGAAACTCCCTTTCATAGAATGTAGACTAAGGAGATATCTATCTATATCTATCTATATCTTAGTAGCAGTGTTTTCTTAGCACGTTGTATTTCAGTCCCCATAAGCCTCATGTCATGGGGTATGCATTAGTTAAGGTTCTCTAGGGAGACAGAACTGAGGGAATGAATGCATATTATCAAAGGCATTTATTGGGTGCCATTCATGGTTTGAGCTCAGTAGTCTAGCAGCGACTGTCTGAATGCTGGAGAACCTAAGACTGAGCCGTGGCTATGTCCACAGTGCTGGATCCCTCAGCAGTCCCAGTTTGGTTACTCTCTTCTTCACTTCACATCAGAAGACAGGAAACTTGGTTCGAATATCAGTGAAAGGTGGCGCAGGGTACATAGATACATGAGCAGTGTCTGGGAAATGTGGGCATGCAACAGCACTGATTTTTGTTCTGTTTTTTGTTTCCCTTAAGAGGTGTTTTTTTTTTTTTTTTAATCTCAGGCCTGCTTGGGAAAGCCTTGCTTTGTTCTTCCTGCCCACTTGAGTCTTCCCTGTCTTAGTTAATCCTTCTAGGAAATAATCTTACGGACCTACCCAGAATTATGTCTTATGATTCCAGATCCAGTCAAATTGACTACTAAGATAACCACCATAGAATGCTTTTAGAAATTCCCATCCTCCCCTATGTAGTTACAGGTAACACTGGCAGGGGCTGGAGAGACGGCTCAGCAGTTAAGAAAGAGCATTTGTTCCTTTTGCAGAGGACCTGGATTGGATTCCTAACACTCACATGGGGGCTACAGTTCAGGGGATTTGACATCTTCTGATCTCTGAGGGTACCAGGGACGTGTGGTACAAATGCATACATGTAAGCAAATACTCTCACACATAAAATACAAGTAAGACTAAAAAAAAAAGGAATATTAGCAAAGGGAAAAGCTACGAAGAGTGAGGTAACGGTAGAGGGAATAATCCAAGAGGAAGAGTGCATCTGTGATTGGTGTATCTGACTGATGGATCCATAACATCATTTCCAGTGCTCGACAGTGCAGTATTTCTCTGTAATAGGCTAGAAGTCAGACATAAATTAGGAATGTGCATGTGTTAGAAATATAGATGGGAAAGGTTAATTCAGGTGCATTTACAGCTCAGTAGACAAGGCACTGAGAGTGAGTGCATACTCAAAGTCTGAGTAGGTCTCAATAAGCAGTGCTTTAGATGAAGGGCATTGTAAGCAGTAAAAACTGAGTAAGATGGAGTCAGAGAGTAGTGAGAGAATAGTCCCTGTGTGGAGTAGGATGTATGTGCAGATAAGGAGTAGTAGAAAAAGATGGTGGCACACGCCTTTAATGCAGCATTCTGGTGGCAGAGACAGGCAGATCTTTGAGTTCAGTGTCAGTCTGGTCTACAGAGAGAGTTCCATGACAGCAAGGGCTGCATGGAGAAACCCTGTCTTAAACAAACAAACAAACAAACAAACAAACAAACAAATGTATGTTTTTGTGAACTAAGGATGACTTTTTCCCCCCCATTTTCAGAGTTATAGATGTGCTATTAGCATGTTTGGCTGAAAACTTGATGAGACCAGAGACATCTATTTCTTATTTTTAAAAATAGCTAAAACATTTTTATTTAAATCATAACAATTGCCCATAATTTTGGGGTATGTTTGTACCTTTCTGTAGATATATATAAGGTGTAATAACTAGATTTGGGCTGTTGGTGAGGGTCTGTCACTTCAGTTATCATTTCTTGTTGGGAATGTCTACAGTAGTTTTCCATTAGTATTTTGAAATACACAGATGTAGCCAGTCTGAGTGGTGTTCTCACTGTGTCTTAGGCACTGGAATCCAGCACCTACTCCTTATCCTCACTAATCGTCCTGTTCTTTCCTGCTTCCCAGGCTCTGTGACCACCACTCTACCCTGCTTCTATTGTGGTCAGGAGAACTAGAGTGTTTGTCATAAAGACTCAATCATTTAAAGTATTGTTTTTATTTTTCTTTTTAAAAGTATATTCTTTAAAGCTGTGCATTAGCACACGTCTTTAATCCCAGCACTTAGGAGGCAGAGGTAGGCAGGTAGGCAGATCTTGGCAGATCTCTTGAGTTCTAGAACAGCCTGGTTTACAGAGAGAGTTCCATGACAGCCAGGGCTAGATGGAGAAACCCTGTCTTAAACAAACAAGAGTGTTTTTGTGAACTTTGTTAAAGTCAAATTGGCGTCTTCTCTTACATGTAGTGTCCATATGGATTTAACATTTATCCACAGCTTATTTGTTCACAGATCGCCAGCACTGATTGAGTTTTCAGTCAGTCATTCTTTAAGAAATTCCCACATGCTTTTTAGTGTTTAATTTGGCTCCTGACAATTATCAGTCTGCTTTCTAGGTTTTGCTTTTGTAGATTTATAAAAGGAATGAAAGAATTTGTAGTCTCACATATTTGACTTGCTTGCATAATGGGAGTACTTTTAAGAGTCATTTACATTGTTTTTATTTCTATTTTGTAGGAAGTAGTCTTTTGGATAGATAACACCTTATCTGTTAGTTCATTCTTGACTGTTTCCCACTTGTGGGCTCTTAGAATTGGATTCTAGTTTCTCTTGGAGAATGGAATTGTTGGGTCATAAGCTAAATACATATTTAACTTAATGAGAAACTTTCCAGCTTTTCCAGAGTGGCTGTATGGTTTTTGTTTACTTATGAGCCATGTAGCTCTAAAGTTTTGAGTGTTCGTTGTGATTTTAATTTACATGGTGATGAACATTTTTAAAGTACTTATTTGCTCCATGTGTCTCTACTGATTAGATAGTTGTTCATAAATTATTTTTTTTAATTGCTGTTGATCTAAGTTATAAAAGTTCTTTCTTTAATGTAAGTCCTGCATTGGCAGTATATTTTTGGAAGACTTTCTTACAATTTTTGTTTTGTCTTTCCATTTTCTTTCTTTCTCTGCTTCCTCCCCCCCCCCTTCTTCTTTGGATTTTTCAAGACAGGTGTAGTTCTGGCTGTCTTAGAACTCACTCTGTAGACCAGGCTGGCCTACCTGCCTGCCTCTGCCTCCCAGGTGCTGGGATTAAAGGAGTGTACCACCACCTCTTGGCTCATTTTCTTTTAAGAAATAGAAGTTTACATTTGATGGCTGAGTTTTAGGAAGACGATGTTTTGTGATGGCCATTGTTTACTTATGCAGATTATAACAGAATTTATTTGGAAGATTACCTGTAAGAAGATACATTATTCTTATTAGATATGGCTGGCCGACTTTGTTAAAAATTATTTTGTTTTATGTTCATGATGTTTTAATTTCATGGCTATATATGTACCGTGCATACCTTGTGTTTGTAGATGTTAGAAGAGGATCCTGAATTTCCTGTAAGGCACTGTGTGCGTGCTGGGGACTGAAGTCTGGGTCTACTGCAAGAGCAGCAAGTGCTCTTAATGCCTGAGCCATCTCTCCAGTTTTAAGTTTACATTTTTGAATTCAGTATGACCCTTGTTCCATAAGTGAGGAGAGCTAAACAGTCTCCTACTAGTGAATTTCCTCTGCCAGAGGGTTTCATATGGAAGTATTTATGAGAAGCTCTGAGTATTAGGATAAGGCCTATTTTAAAAAGTTGGTTTCAGTATGTGTCACCTGTTTTGTTTTGAAAACCAAAGCTGATTTGAAAGCACTAGTGAAACATAAGTTTGTTCCTGAAGTTACAGCACTAAAATGCTCTGTGTGCTGCTTTCGTTTTGGAAGTGGCAGAGTTTGGTTTGTCACAGCTCATTCATAGTATCTTTGTATTAAGACTATTGCTTTCACAAGTAACCTAGGGCTGCATTCTTATATTACAAGGTTTTTGTCTTGAATTTCCTATCTCTGTTGTGAATTTAGGATACGTTTGCATTAGTTTTCTTGTTGCTGTGACCAGATACCTAATAAGGAGCAACTTAAGGGAGGAGAGGAGCACTTGTTTTTCTTGTTTTTTTTTTGTTTAATGTGTGAGGTGATAGTGTCATTCTTGGCTTTGTGGTAGTGAGCGTGTGTGTAGATGTTTGCTCACATCTCAGAGGACCAGGGAGCAGAGATGAACAGGAAGTTAGCCTGGGCTGTTTCTCTCAAGGCATTCTTCCTCCCTACTCTGTCCAGCTAGGCTCTAGAGTTCCTGAACCACGTCAGCAGCTGGGATTGTAAAACAATCCCAAACCATAGCACCCCCTTCTAGTTCTCTGTGCACATACGTGTGCAGATGATATAGCTTAGTTATTAAAAAAAAGGTTTTCTTTTGACTTTGTTTTAAAAACTTACTAGACTGGAGTGATCTTTCATGATGCTCCTTTGCAGTCTATGCAGCATGTTCTACAGAATGGACAAATCAGAGTTTATTACTTGAAGTTTTTGGGAATTTTTAACACCATGACAAATATATGTTGCATTGCTAATTTTGTATATACTTTTGTGAGCATACAAAACATTCCATCAGGGTAAATTAAACAGACTTTGAACTGCTGAGTCAAAAAAATATAGGGGCATTGTTTCTTTTCTTTTTCCTTATGTATTGACCGTTTGCTTCCCAGAAAGTCAAGTGACTTCAAGCAGTACAGATTTGCTTTGTTCTAAGATGTTCTCTTTTGTACCTTGATTCATTCTGAAGGTGAAATACCTTCTCTTTATGTCTCATTCTTGGCCTTGTGTGCCAGGCCTCTGAGTACTGGGTTAGAAGGTAGCTCTTGGTATAGGCGAGTTCTCAACGTACACAAATGACTACTGCTCCTTGTACTAAGAGTATTTTCTGTTAATCTTTTATTTTATTATAATGAGTTACATATGGTCATTTTCATGTAGTATATATGTGTTGAGCATCTTTTCCCCTTTGTCCCACTAGAGACTTAAAAAAAAGCTTGTCTTTTATAAATATGATGAATGTTTTGCCTGCTTGTACACCTTTGCACCTGTGTATGCAGTAGTCAAGTAGACTAGAAGAGCGCAGATCCCCTGAAACTGGAGTTAGACAGTTGTTAGCTGCCTTGTGGATCCTGGGAACCAAAACTCAGGCCGTTTATAATAGCAACAAGATGACTTATCTGTTGAGCCGTCTCTCTAACTCTGTTCTCTAGGTGACCTTATAATATACTAATGGTATAGTTATATAAAGGATGTTTATGGCTGGACAGTGCTGGTGCATGCCTTTGATACTAGCACGAAGAAGGTAGAGGCAGGCTAATCTGTGAGTTCAAGGCCAGCATGGTCTACAGAGTATCAGGAAAGCCAAAGCTACACAGTGAAACCCTGTCTTAAAAAAAAAGGTGTTTATGGAGAATGTTTATGATGTATATTGTAAAAAGTGAGATACTTACATGCCAACTTTTCTTTCCTCAATACAGGAATGGGTAGGACAAGTGGAAATAAGTGCCCTTTCTCTTATGTACAGGTAAACCGTAGAATGCTTAAATAAAACAGTAAAATAAAATAACTGGAAAATTAGTATATTACATTCAACTAAAATTTTTAAAACTTCAAAGGTGTTTTATACCTCAATTGTCAAAGACCTTCCCTAAGGTTTTTAGTCTGTTCAATGGCATCAGTTGGAATTTGATGGTTATATGGCACTGTTTAAATGCTTTAATTTCTGAGGGATTTTTGAAAAAGGCACAGAAAATATTAGTCTATGTCCTAAAAACTATTGTTTATCAGCTTCATAGAGAAAGGGCGTATTCTCGGGTCATTACCATTGGATGGCCCAGGAACAGAGCTCAGGTGCTGTTCTCTTCTCATTGCTACAGTTTCTTTGAGAGCAAGGCTTCCTTTTAGAATTGTCTTTGAAGTTATTCATGTTGTAGAGTTTACATATGAATTCTTTTGAAATTTTAATTTTTAGAAAACATGCTTCTGGTATTTTATAGTGCAGTTATTTCATTTTTTTTTGTTTTTGTTTTTGTTTTTTTTCCTGCTCAACAGTGCCTAGAACATTGCCTCATACAGATAAATGAATAATTTCAGTTCATGAAGTATATTCTTTTAAAAGTAATATCTGAGTTTTATTTTCAGGAAAGATTTTGTAATATATCAGGAGCCAAATGTTTCTCCTTCACATGTAACTGAAAATAATTTTCCTGAGAAGGTAAGACTTTTTTGAAGTATTAAAAAATATTTAAATAGAAGAGCTGCTTAGTGCTACCTATGACTAGGATGCTAAGCTGTGCTTTTAAATGACTGTTCGTATAGTGCTATATGAAATGCATGGTAGTGTTTCTTCAAGTTAGGTTAATCACCATGTCATTTAAAAAACATGTCTATATGACCAAGATTATTACTGTTCATCATGACATTTAAGTAGTAAAGTGACTTGTGAAAGTGAGCTCTGCTTTGTGTCCAGACATATCCTGCTGGTTGTGTTTCTCTTTGTAGAGATAATTTAGTAGCAATGGTATCACTGCATCATGTGCTCACAAAGTAGTAGAAGCGGTTGAAAAGTTTTATGAAGCCTAGAAAGAAAAAAAAAGCCAATTCACTGTAAGAGAATTTTACTTTAGTGGAATCATGCAGGCCAAGGTGAAGGAAGGACACTGCTCCTTTTATGAGGGGGGAGAGGAAGTGAGTGGAATGCTACCGTGGAAGGATGAGAAGAGGGCGGGGCATGGGGAAGGCTGGGTGTTAATGGAGCTTTGCTCTTGATCTGACCTTTTCAACTACAATTTTTGGGTTATGGCATATTTTTATTCAGTAAATGTACATGTATTGTAGTTAGTAATCAGTTACTTAGAAAATACTTAAAACTGACAATTAGGAAAAACTTACTGATTCTGTCTCACAGAAGTTAGCATTGATATGGTTTTAGAATACTTTCCTTTCTTCCATTCCCTTTCCCCTTCCCTTTTCCTTTATTCTCTCCCTTATTTATAACTTCCCCTCTTCTTTCTCTTCTTTCTTCTCCTCTTCTCTTCCCTTTCCTCTTCTCTTTCCCCTCTTTCCAAAGTCCCACTGAATCAAAATCTTAATTCTCCTGCCTTAGCTTCCTGTGTGCTGTGATTATAGGCATGTATCACTGAACTTGACTTGGAATGATTTCTACAATCTTTTAACTATTTTTTGAAAGATTTATTTATTATTTATTTTTATGCCTATGTTTCTGTGCATGAGTGTACAGATGCTCAGAGGCCATAGGTGTCAGACCTGGAGGTTCAGGTGGTTGTGAACTGCCAGATGTGGGTGTTGGGAGACAGACTTGGGTCTCTGCTCTTAACCACTCAGTACCTTAACCTTTTTGTTCTTTAAGTAGTTGAGATCATATGTGATGTCTGGTGTTTATTTTAGGCTTTTGAGCTGGTGTCTTTATATAGACTGGCTTTTGCCTTGTGATCCACCTGCCTCATCCTCCTTAAATGCTGAGATTACAGATGTTTGCAATGACTTGTGACTTCTTACTGTCTTTTCTTTCTTTCTTTTTTTTTTTTGGTGGTTTTCTGTAAACATTTTCAGAATGGCCGTGGTGGGCTTATCTGTAACCCCAGCACTGGAGGTCACTGAGCATAGGAGGGTCAGGAGTTTGAAGACCAGTGTCCATTATGCAGTGAGTTTGAGGTCAGCCTAGGATACATGAGACTGTCTCAAAAAAACAACAAAACAGAACTTAGCTGTGTCAGTGCTGTCTGGCTTTTCACCATACTGTGGTGGACTAGTTTGACAACATTAGAGCTGTGTTATTTCTGAAATAGGATTTTGAGAATGTGTTATCCAGAGGCTTTGGAGACAGTTTGCTTTGTGAATGTTAAATGTGATTGACTGAAATGTTGCTTACTTTCCCTTCAGGTGTTACTGTGTTTTTCAAATGGAAATCATTATGACATTGTCTATCCTATAACGTATAAAGATAGTTCTGCTATGTGTCAGTGTAAGTATTATCTTGTCTTCAAATAGGAATTATAACCTAAACCCCACAACCTATGTAAGGATTTACATCTGTTTTTCAGGTTGTTAATGTACAGCTTTAAAAAAACTCAAGTGATTGAATAAACGCTTCATTTGATGTATTACCATTGGCACTATTGAGATTTGGGGCCAGATTCTTCTGTTGGGGTGCTTCCTTGTGCATTGTAGGATGCTTTAGTAGCATAGTAGCTTCTTCCCAGTAGATGTCAGTAACATTTGCTACCTCATTGTGAAAACTAGTTTCTACAGGTTTTCCCAAATATTTGCTGGTTGGCTGAATTCGCCTCCACTCCACACAAGTAAGAGTACTGGTTGAGGAGGAGAGAAATGGCTCCTTCTGCTTTCAACTCCTTTTTTCTCATATAAATAGTAGCGTTGCACGTGTAATTGCTTTTCTTTTTTTCCTTTCTGTTTTTTGAGATAGTTTCAGTTATGTAACTGTGACTGTCCTGGAACGTCCTATGTAGACCAGGCTGACTTTGAACTCAGAACCACTTGCTTCTGCCTCCCAAGTACTGGAATTAGACATGCACCACTACGCTTGACTTTTTTCTCTAGTCTTAAGTGATCAGTAAAAGTAAGACTAGTAAATGTTTTTAAAGTGTAAGGCATGTTTTTGAGGTGGAAATATTGAGCTATCTTTTGGGCTGCGTCCTCCCTTTCCTAGTTAGTCACAGTCAGACATTTAAGCTTTGGGAAGGGTAAGCCTTTGTAGCCTGCCTCTCTGTACTGCCTGTGGGTGAGTCAGATTGGATTTCCTTGTACTCGGAATCTGGTCTGTGAGAGGATTATGGGGTTCATTTAGATGGTGGGCGTGAATTCTTAGTGCACTTAGTTTCAGGAAATTTATTGTAATAAATGAGTTTTACAGTTGACCTGTTTTTGAATTTTTATTATAAATTTTTCCCCTGTCTCTATTATTATTTATTTTGAGACAGGGTTTTTCTGTGCAGCTCTGGAACTTGCTCTGTAGACCAAAACTGGCCTCTTAACTCAGAGATCCATCTCGTCTGCCTCCCGAATGCTGGGACAAAAGGTGTATGCTACCACTGCCTGGCTTTTAGAACTCACTTTTTAATTGAGCAAATCTAAATATTCTTTCCTTTAGAGAAGACTGAGAATATATTTTTGTGTGTGAGTGTTCATATTAGGTTTGTATGTGTGAGTATGTACATACATATGCAAGCCAGAGGGCAGCCTTCACTCTTGTTTTTCTTCCCCTTTCTGTGTTCTGTGTGCATGTGTGTACGTGTTGGGGGTGAACAGTGAGTGATATGGCTTGGGGTCAACATTGGATGTCTGTGGTGGCTCTCCAGCTTACATTTGAGAGGATCGCTCACTGAACCTGGCCAGAGGTCATTTTTTAAAGCTAGACTGTCTGGCCAGCAACTGCTAAAGCTCCTGTCTCTATGGCCTTGGTGCTAGGATAATAAAAATAAGCACTTGGTGCCACACCTGCCTTTTCTGTATGAGTGCTGGGGACTCAAACCCTTAATGTTTACATACCAAGCACTTGCCTACTGAGCCATCTTCAAGCCCCTAAGAATATATATTCTAAGTCTCTTTTTAGCTCATTATGTAAAGTTAAAACATGAAATTGGATTATGGTAAACATCGTGTGACTTACGGAAACTTGATGAGGACTTGATCTAATGTTCCAGTTACTGGGAGAACTAAGGCGAGAAATCTAAGTCTTCTGCCTTGTCAGCTAGCATATACTAATGGTCTGGACTTTTCTTTTCTGCAAACTTAATGATGCTTAAGTTTTTCATCCAAAACCTTTGGGTTAGGCCTCTTGTGTGACATACCAAAGCGGGAGACTTGATGTGCAGAGATTAAATGTGAGAGCACAACAAAGCTTTTAATGTTTGTAAAATCAAGTAGTGCTCACGAAAGTTTTTCACTTTTCCTGATGTGTTCGTTTCATAGATTTGATACTCTTTAGTTGTGTTCTAAAAATGTAATAATCTTAAGTGATATTTTGAACTTTGTGTACCGTGGACAAAGGTTCCTGTTGCTTTCTAGGTATCTTTGAGATTAAATGGTGCTGTTGGCTGTAGGGGTTTGTGTATACCTACTAAACATTTCAGAAGCCTAAGCGATGCTGTCACATTTCTCCTATTTCCACAACATGCCTGTAATGTTACACACTGTGCCTCTTTAATTGCAGCTATCCTTTATGAACTGCTGTATGAGAAGGTATTTAAAACCGATGTCAGTAAAATCATGATGGGACTAGAAGCCTCTGAGGTGGCTGATGGAAGCAACAGTGAGATATCAGATTCTGAGGATGACAGCTGCAAGTAAGAACACATTTCAGTCCTAAAGTGTCTTTCTAGTGTCACCCAAGGAAACATTTTCATGTGCTACGGTGTGCATCCAAAAAGCACTGAAAATGCAGGAGAGGGTCTTTATTGCTGCCATGAATTTGACCTAGTTTCTATAATGGTTTTGTCTTTCAAAGTTGTTTCTGATTAATGAGAATTTATATTATGTAATTGATAAACATGTAGAATAGATTTGATTTGTGTGTATCATAAAACTGTAAAGTTAACTTGTTTACACTTCCAGTGATGAATAGCCTTTGTTTTGATCTTTGTTACCTTTTCATAGTTTGCCTCCTTTGCTTCTACCACGTCTATTAGAATAAGGAGTGCTTCACTGTGGAGTTGTGCGAAGTAATTCACCTTTTAGAGTCACTGAGGTAGTTTAGACAGATAAAGATTCTCAGCCCTGGATATGTAGGCATACTTTTGGACATCCAAGCATGTTTTTAGTTTGTTTTTTTTGTTTGTTTGTTTGTAATTAGATAGATTAGGGACATATTTAATTTCTCTAAAGAAGCCTCAGTAGCCTCTGTAGCATAGAATGACGGTGTTTTAGTATTTTCTTTCTTTCTTTTTTTTGGTTTTTCGAGACAGGGTTTCTCTGTGTAGCCCTGGCTGTCCTGGAACTCACTCTTTAGACCAGGCTAGCCTCGAACTCTCGAACTCAGAAATCCACCTGCCTCTGCCTCCCAAGTGCTGGGATCAAAGGTGTGTGCCACCACCGCCCGGCCAGTATTTTCTAAAAGAGACAATACCAATGTTTATGTGATAGCAAGTCAGGTAAATATAGTTTCATTATATATTACGTATTGATTTTTGATATTAAGCCTGTATATAACATTAGTTATCAACATTAAGTTTATCGTTTATGAGCATCCTCTATTACATTCCTGTTGAAGCTGAAAGTGTATTCTCATATGAGATGTGGTGGTACATGTTACACTAGGGATGACATTCTCCTTGAGTTTTAGTTCTTACAATCATGTTTTTTAAATGTGTATGTGTGTTGAAGTGCAGGACCCCCTCCTCCCCTTCTGTGTGGTGGAGAGCAAATTCAGAATTGTATGCATGCTAGGAAAGCACTATACCACTGGAATGCACTCTAGTACATCCATACTTTTAAATTTTTTTTTAGGGTTTTTTTTTGACAGGAATACTTACATTCTGAGTTTATGTGTGAATGAATGCAGACAGTTTGAGGCTGAGACGACATGTTCCTTGTTGCTAGAGTTAATGGGTTCTTGTGAGCCTCTTGAGTAGGTTCTGGGAACTGAACTTGGATTTTCTTTCTGCAAGAGCAGTATGGGGTCTTAAAACCACTGAACCATCTCTGTGCGCCCCTCCCCCCTTTTTAAAATCTGAGCCAGGGTCTAGGTATTCCTAGATCACTGTGTAATTAAGAATGACTCTCTCTCCTGATTTTCTGATTGTCTTCCCCTCCCAAGTGTTTACAGTTACAGGTACATGTCATCATGCTTGCTTTCTAGGAATTGTTGAATTAAAATTTTCTGATTTGGACTGAAGATCTGACCATTATTTATGCTTGAACAGTATTTGATGTTGTGAATTTTATCCTAATATGTGTTGATTAATTATGCATAAATAGATATTGCCTCTCTTTCCAGACCTGCTACCTGCCACTACCATTTAAGAGTTTATTGTAGGCCGGGCGGTGGTGGCACACGCCTTTGATCCCAGCACTTGGGAGGGAGAGCAGGCTGATTTCTGAGTTCGAGGCCAGCCTGGTCTACAGAGTGAGTTCCAGGACAGCCAGGACTACATAGAGAAACCCTGTCTCGAAAAACCAAAAAAAAAAAAAAAGAGTTTATTGTAACCTCATGCTTTTGGCATGTAGTTGAGGTTAAAAGTTGACTACATGCAACTTTTCATTTTCTAATTATGGTTCTGTTCCTTTATAGGAGTAACATTACTGCTGCTACTGATGTGAATGGATTTAAACCCTCAGGCAGTGAGGTATTTTTAATTTTTTAATATTTTAACTTGCTCTTTTATATGTAATATATAAAGAACCTGTGATTTTTGTTGGTCATTTTCTGTAGTCAGGGTTGCTTTGCTAGTAAGAGGTTAATTTGCTGTTTCCTGCTTAAGTTTTTGTGTTGTTTTTGTGCATATTTGAAACTGTTTGAAAAGCATTTCTTTGTTGATTGGACTTGTGACATTGTTTATTTAGAACCCTAAGAACAATGGGAACTCAGCTGACCTTCCTTTGTCCAGAAAGGTTCTTAAGTCACTCAACCCAGCAGTCTATAGAAATGTGGAGTATGAAATTTGGTTGAAGTCTAAACAAGGTGAGTTAAATCTAAATCTTCTGTAAAATTGCCTTGTAGCACTTGAAGATAATGAAATTTTACAATATATTTTAATGAATTTTTTTAAACTAACAGCTCAACAAAAACGTGATTATTCCATTGCTGCTGGCTTACAATATGAAGTTGGAGATAAATGCCACGTAAGTGATGTCTACCAAATGTTAAAGTAACTTGACTTGAATCTTATTTCCTGATAATTTCCAAAGGAACAGCCAACTAAAGTTTGACTGTAGTTATAATTTGAATTTCAGAATTCCAGTACATACAAGTAAAAAGTAGAATCATCTTAGTGCTGAAATTAATACCTTTGTAAAGCCACAGTTATGTTGTTAATTGTTTTGTTTTGTTTTTGAGACAGTGTCTCGCTGTGTAGTCTTGGCTGGCCTGCAACTATGTAGACCAAACTGGCCTGGAAATCACATAGATCTACCTGCCTCTGTCTCCTGAATTCTGGGCCTTTGTCCATTTTATTTGAATACGGTTTACCTGAAATCTTAAGCAGCTGGAATGATACACAGGTGACTTGTTTACACAAGTATTTAGGATATATTTTAAACTTTTTGGTAGAAATGGCTTTTTAAAAGAAGGCTAGTGAAGTTGGATGTGGTAATGTATATCTTTAATCTCAGCACTTGGGGAGATAGAGGCAAGTGGGTTTTTGTGAGTTCATGGCCAATCTGGTCTACATAGTTCCAGGCCAGCCAGGACTATACAGTGAGATACTGTCTCTAAAACAAAACAAAACAAAACAAAACAAAACAAAACAAAACAAAACAAAACAGCTGGCAAAATGGCTCAGCAGAATCCTTTTGCTCTTTCAGGGAATCTTGAGTTGGTTTCTAGTACCCATATCAGGAGGCTTAAAACTGTGTTCAAACTCCAGACGATTTGCTGCCCTCTTCTGACATCTGTGAGCAATCCATGGGTGGCAGAAGAAACCTACACATAAAAATTTAAGAAATTTTAAATTACCCTTTAAAAGTCTTTTTTATTGTAAAACTTTCTTGAGAAAAAGCAATTAATGAAGAATGAGATGTCAGCTCAGGACTGATAACACTTGGAAAAAAGGGAATCTCTGTGTAGAGCAGAGCTGTGTTTACTGTGCTTACTGCAGCCATTAGCCAGTGCACAGGGTTAGTGTGTACAGTTTGCCTAGAGGAAACTGTCACACAGTACAGTTAGCTACTTACTATTGATAGGGTTGGTAAGGAACAGTAGAAGGAAGCATCCCTTTGTAAGGAGCAGTGGTTTTAGTATAAAAACAGATAGACAGTAGTAATAAGAGTTTCCTCATTTGTAGAGTGGCTGCTCTGTAGATTGCTGTCCCCGTGTGGTATAGCTCTCCATTGCGTCTCCAGGAGTTCTCTAGTTTATTATTTACTGTTGTTAGCTCCAGTCTGCATAGGAGCAAACAAGGTGAGACACTGTCCAAGGTTATAGGACAGTCGGTCGTAGAACAGCCATGCTTGGAGATTCAAGGCCAGGATGGGTTGACAGCTGCTGACGTATATATTGATTATAGTTTGATGGATTCTGCTGCTGCTTTACATATTTATAACAGTTCCAAAAATTTGACAGAAGAAACAGTCTTTCTTTTAGCTAGAGAGGTGTGGTGCTTAGGGATACAGATTCTGTTGAAGCTCTTTTGTACTTATTTTTTTTTTTCCTGGTAAATGCTTCCAGTATCAGGTGTCTGACGGTTTTTCCTGGTGTTCAGCAGGTTAGATTGGATCATAATGGGAAATTATCTAATGCAGACATTCATGGGGTTCACTCTGAGAATGGACCAGTTTTGTCTGAAGACCTAGGGAAAAAGTACGTATTCTTTAGCTAAGATGTTTGCTACCTATTAGATTTAGCCTGTTAAAAATGTTAATACTTCTAAATGCCTCTGTATTTAGAGTTTCAATAAAATGTGTTATTTGTATATAAAAATTTAATTGGTTAGATCTTTAGAAAAATCATGAAGGGTTGTAGAATTGACTTGTAAAGGAACTAATATCTCTCTATCTCTTCTACCTATTTTTTTTTTTTTTTTTAATTTTAAGAAAAGGTTTCTGTGGGTAGCTCTGACTGTCCTGGTACCCAGTTTGTAGACTAGGCTGGCCTCAAATCCACCTGACTCTGCCTCCTGAGTGCTGGAATTAAAGGAGTGAACCGCCACCACCTGGTGCAGAGGAACTGATGATGAAGCTGGGTATTCCGTGAGGGCACATGTCTTGAGTTCAAGGCCAGCATGGTCTACATAGGAGTCTAGATAGCCAGGGATACGTAGATCCCATCCCAGTCTCCCCCTTCCCCAGTAACAAACTACAGTAACTGAATTTTAACATCTCCAACATCCACATAAAAAAACAGGCAAGGATGTACGTCCTGTCACACCAGTGTTGTGGATCAGGAGTCAGTGGATCCCAGGTGCTCCTAGCCTTTGTAAAATGAGCTTCAGGTTTGAGAGACTGCCATAAAATTTTTTGGTAGAAGCATGTACATATACACAGGTAGCACATGTAACTTACACCCCTAGAAAAAGAATAATATTTTGAATTTAAATCAGATGTTTTGCTCACTCTGGTATATTTTACAAAATGCTAGTTTTACAGTGTCTAGTTTTTCTAATTTATTTTTAATGTAAGAACTAGAGGTGTGGTGGTATGTGCCTTTGATCCAGCACTCGGGATACAGTCTCGTATACATAGTGACTTTCAGGCTGGCCGGGAGTGTGTAGTGAGACACTATCTTGGGGAAAAAAAAGAATTAAAGTTAGCACTTCTGTTTGCTCACATGCATGTGCGCACATGTGTGTTTGTGTGTGTGTGTATTTTTTTTTGAGACAAGATTTCTCTACAGCTCTAGCTATCATAGAACTCACTTTATAGATCAGGCTGGCCTCTGAACTCAGAGATTAATAATGTTTGTCAGCATGCCTGGTTTAAATTAGCAAATCTTGTGTAAGCTGACAGCAAAGTATCTATGCAGGGTATTGGTTGTAGTGTTCTTTTTAAAAGATTGTTTGAGATTTACTTGCTTGATGTGTATGAGTGTTTTGACTCATGTATTGTGTAGTGCATGCATGCAATTTGTGTGAGGAGGCCTTAACACTGGATCCTCTGGCACTGGAGTTAGGGTGGTTGTGAGTTACTATGTGGTGCTGAGAATTAGATCAGGTCCCCTAGAAGAGTAGCCAGTACTCTTGACTGCTGAGTCGTCTGCCTATCCAGTTGTGTTTTAGTGCATGTTTTAGTCCTTAGGGAGATTGTGTGAAGTTACTAGAAAACACTTTTGTTTCTTTTGAAGACATACACCGAAGAACCTCAAGCCACCTCCCCCAGAAAGCTGGAACACGGTGTCAGGAAAGAAGATGAAAAAACCTAATTCTGGGCAAAATTTTCATTCAGGTAAGTTCACATCAAAGCTCTCTTTAGGATTATGATGGTAGTTCTTGGGAGTTGTTTATGTCAGGGAAATTGTGAGGTCTTTTTCTATTTTCCACAGATACGGATTATAGAGGGCCAAAGAATCTAAACAAGCCAATCAAAGCCCCATCTGCACTACCTCCTCGACTACAGCATCCTTCATCGGGTGTAAGACAGCATGTGTTCTCGGGTCATTCTACAGGGTCCCAGTCTCAGAAATCCTCCAGTGAGCATAAGAGTCTGAGTAGGATGCCTTCACAGATCACGAGGTAACCTTCCTAAATCGAAGAGAAACATGCGTTAGGAGGCACATTGCTGCATGTCCTCCATTATATTCAGCTTTTAGTTACTAGCTCTTGGTCATACTGTTTATAATGTAGTGCTGAAAAGGAATGTCGATAGAACTTTCAAACACTACACAGTAATACTATAGAGGAATAAGCCTTTATTTCTGAGTATTTTGTTCCAAGTGATGACAAACTTTATGGTAGTTCTATTAGGGTTTTTCAATCAGTATGGAGAGCAGAGTAATAATCTGTAGGAGACAAGAAAGTAGTTCGGTGAAACGTGACTACTTTGAGAGTCTGATCCCAAGTTTATTCTAGGCATATTTAAGTAATCATTAAAAAATTTCCTGGTGATAAATAACTCAATCTCGTATCACAAAAAAGCTTAAGAAATGACTACATCAAAATGCTTTGTGAAGTACATGTGGCATTTTTCATAATGATGGGTTCTGTATATTGAGCTCATAAGGGCTGGGGGTAGGATCTCATTTGGTCTCAGCCAAAAGTAGCACAGAGGTCACCAGGCTGTTTATTATCGATGCTTGTTCTTATTCTTCTGAGTGGATAACAAGTCACACCTCCTTCCCTTTGAAGGACATTTCTGTGTGCTGACCTTCCTCACTCCCTCAGTGTTTATTATCTGTGATCACAAGCACCTCTGCAGGGTCTCCAGTGCTCCCTTTTTTATTTCTAAAGTAAAAGTTGTGATTGTAATAGAGGCCATGACTGAATGCATTGCTTGCATGGCTAGTCCAACTAACACAGGCAAGCATACCAGAATAAGAAAAGCTAACAGAGAACCAAGGAGAGGAGAAAGACTTCTTAGCTATGATGGCCATTCAAGGATCACTTGAGAGATTTTATCTTTTTATGGAGATCATTAATTTGACCAAAATCTGACCTATTAAAGCAGTACATGCCAGGAATTGTTAGCAACCAAGATTAGTTGTATTTTCGTTAAAGTGTTTCTCAGTTCACCCATCTCTTGGTAAATTTATAATATTTTTACTGTAATGTTAGTTTTGTTAGTCATAAAGGCCATTTTTGAGACCTCTCTTTGTATTCTAGTTAACATTTCTAGGACTGGCAATAAAAAAGCTGTTGGAACTCTTAGTTAACTTTGTTCTGAAAGTTTTGCTTAGTTGTGGTGATGTCTTTACTATTCAGCTTAGCTCTGTGTAGTCGTAGGAGGCATTACTACAGATTATCACAACTGCATGATCATAAGCATTCTGACTAAATATTCAGAGGTAGATGAACATTAGGGTCATATCTGTGTTCCACATCCCCCCTCCCCAAATCTGCTCTTCTGATATGTTATATAGCCTTTGGTAGGTCTTGAGAGGATGAACTTTTTTTTTTTGGTAATGTCTCTTTTGTAGTCTTGACAGGTCTAGAACATACTGTGTAGCACAGGCTGGCAGTCCTCTTGCCTCTGCTTTCTGAGTGCTGGGGTTATAAGATACTGGGATGCACCACTATGTCTGGCTTGAGAGGAGGAGTATGAAATTGAGTATTCTTATCTAGTCAGTTCTAGCCATGACCCCTGGGAAATTAAGTTATTGTGGCTAGCACCTCCGCATCCAAGTGCCCGAGGAGCTTTTGTATTGTCTAAGTTCTTGTCTTTAGATCTTTTAGCTCTCCCTTTTGAACATTTTCTTTTCTTGAGAATACCCTTACTTTGCCATTAAAGGTAAATTTAAGACAGTTGGGAGGCTCTTCAAGCTGATTTAGCCATGCCATATTAGTTTTTTAGAGTTGTTATAAGAGTATACTAGAAATTAGTCACTTGAAACAACAGAAGTTTATTCTCTGACAGTTGTAGAGGGCAGACATGTTAAGATGAACTAACCGCCGTGCCCGTTGTTGTGGGCTTATGTGAGAATTTGTTGTTCCTCGGCTCCATCCTGCATTTGCCTTTGTTTTTGGAGTTCCTTTTTTATAGCTGACTCATTCTCTTTTCTTGTCCCTTTTTAAAAAACACCAGCTAGACTGTTGAGACCCTACTTCATTCCCTTGATCTCATCTATTTGATTACATCTTAACAGACTGCCGCCCCCCCCCCCCGCCTTTCCCCTCTCCCCTCCCCCAAGGCAGGGTTTCTCTGTTGTAGCCCTGGCTGTCCTGGAACTCAGTCTGTAGACTTAAGCTGGCCTTGACCTCAGAAGTCTGCTTGCCTCTGCCTCCCAAGTGCTGGCATTAAAGGCGTGCACCACCGCTGCCTGGCACAGACTCTTTTTAAATAAACACATACACACATTCTGGGGGTTATGTTATCTGAGCATATTCTTCTGAGAGAAAAGTTCAATCCATAATATATTAATTATTCAGATCCCTTATTGAAAACCTGAGGATTAGATAATTAGATGGAGGCCTCACGTATGTTAAGAAGATGCTAGCGTTATTTTTGTTTTATTTAAAAAATTATTTAGAATAAGGTAGTTTATACTGTTGAAGTCAGAACAACTAGGTGTATAGTTACCCCAGCTCTCAGCAGACAGGCCAGTCTGGGTAAGACCCTCCTAGCTTTCAAGCCCCAAAACAACCAAAAATGTCTAAAAGATTGTCCAGCCCTCTGTAATCTTGTGTGTATTTTTCCAGTGGTATCTTTTTTTACTTGTATTAACACTTTTTTGTTGTGGGTTGGGGTAGGGTTCAAGACAAGGTTTCTCTATAGCTGTAGCTGCCCTGGAACTAGCTTTGAAAACCAAGGCTGTCCTCGAGCTCACGGAGATTAAGATCCACATGGTGGAGGAGAGAATTGACTTGTCTTCTGAGCATCCACACACAAGCATAAAAAATGCAATGAAAACCTATAAACCTGTGGCCCGAGTGTCCGGTTAGTGATACAGAGCACTCTTTCTCGCAAAGGATCTGTGTTTCCTTTCTGGAGCCTCAACCACTTAACTTCCTCAGACATCAGGCATGCATGTGGTGCCTAGAATACATGTAGGCAGAACACTCATAAACAAAATAAAACAAATGTATAAAGTTCAGTGGAAACAGTGAACTGTGTAGAATTGTGCAGAATCATCACAGCATTTTCAGAGTTATTAATTAGAAGAGTACATTTGGAAGTAAGTGTGAATAGCAGTTCCTAACAACATCGTCAGGGAGTCTAAATTCCTCATCAGTGGCTACATGCTAACTGTCTTAGTGCTTCTACTGCTGTGACAGAACATTATGACTGGAGAGAAAAGGGCTCATTTAGCCCACACTTCCACACTGTAGTGCATCATTGAAAGAAGTCAGGGCAAGTATCGGAGGGTAGGATCTGAGGGAGAGACCATGAGGAATGCTTCATACTGCCTTGCTACTCATGACTTGCTTTGTAAGGTAATTTTCTTCTGTGCTGGGAGTTGGGTCATGTTGGGTTCACTCTCTGCAAATGAAAGTCTTACAGCAGGTCAGCTAGTTGTCATTAGTTGCACTTGAAGGTTTTGTTTGGACACTTGACACCAGACTCCTCTTTCCTTTTGTACTTGGTAGCTTACTCATAGTGTAGACAAAATACATGGGTGATTACTTTGGACATTACCCTAAAAACATAAAAATACCTGTGGAAAAATTTTATTTTATACCTTCACCATCTTTTCATGTAATGAACCATTTTTCCTGTACTCTAGATGTAAGAGTACATTTTTTAGTGTCTTAAACATTTAAAAAGAAAATACAGACTGCCAAATAACTTATCAAAGTTGAATATGAATCTAGACTCTTTGGTGAACTCCAGTCTCTTAGGAATTGGTGGAGCGCTCATATATTTAATATGCACAGTACTGTGACTGTTGTGATGGACAACTGTGTCCAGCCTATTGGACTCATATGTTAACTGGTTCATTAAATACTTGGTAACATGTAACAAGGTATGTGAAAGTTTGGTTAGATGACTTTTGACATTGTGAGTGTGTAGGAATTGATTGGCATTTGAAGTTAATTATTGACTAGTATGCTTTTTCCAGTTTGTGTTAACTGCTGATTCGTGCTGGAGAGATGGCTCAGCAGTCACTTGCTGCTCTTGCAGAGGATCCAGGTTTATTCCCATCATCCATGTGGTAGCTCATAACCATCTATAAATTCAGTTCCAGGGGATCTTGTGGCCTCTTCTAACACTCATAGACACTGAGCATACATGTGGTGCATATACGCTTGGGTATAAGAAATAAAACTCTTTCAAAAAAGTATTTTAATAGTGTAGTAAACGTTTAGCACTTTATACAGTTCCCCGATTGCTATGACCTGATAGAGTTCATCCTGATTGTGTTGATGTAACAGGTCAACTCTCCAGTTCTTTTGGAATAAAAGATGAGTGGTAATGCTGGGCACGATCCGTTTCTGAGGTCTTCTATATGTCTTCTTTAGTGATACCACTCCTCTGGAGAAGTCAGCAGAGATGGGGTTGTACTTTGAGTCACTTATTCAGTCTGTCTGTCTACCTACCTACCTACCTACCTACCAACCAACCAACCAACCAACCAACCAATCAATAAATCAGAGTGGCTTATAGGCTGTAGTCCACCAAGTCCCACAATGGCTATTTACCAACAGAAGGTCCAAAATTCTAGTTGTTCAGTCCATGAGGTTAGGTCTCTCAGCTGGTCTTCAGTATATGCAGGAATTCTGGAGAAGTAGGCTTTAACACCAGTAAAAGAATGGACTTGCTAGTAAGAGTGACAGCAAACAGGCAAAGAACAAGCTTGTGTTTCTTTTGTAGCCTTTGTAATAAATAGGCTATGGTATCACTAAAGTTAGCAGAACATGCGGCCATCTTCTGAATCTTCCAACACCAAACGATCTGTACTAAAGATGAATCTTTCTGGCTCAAGGATCTGGATTACAAGTAGGTCTTCATACTTCAGATCCCTTATAGGTGTGCTCAGCTATTTGGGTTTTAGTTAATTTAAGATATAGTCACATTGACAACCAAGAATAGTCATCACAAACCCACCCCTTTTCAATTTGATACAGTCATATTGGTAATCTTATATCATGCTTAATTTCCAAATGAAATCAATTATCAGGTCATAATTGTGCTTAACGTGATATAAGTATTTCATGTAGAGTTTCAAGAACATTATATATTCATTTAAGCAGGTCCTCATTGTAGCTGTCCCTCTTACAACCAAATGAAGTATAAATTTAGAATAAATGGCAATATGCCTTGGGGTATTTATAACCACTGTAGTCTCTTAATTGATAGTAAAGAAATCAAGGAAAAAAAATTTAATACCTGTACAAACACATTCTTAACAAAATATCACAGAAACATTCGTGTCAGCCATAGTCCTTGTTTCTGAATTCGGTTACAGGGCCTCAGCTGATATTTATGCCTACCTTTCTCTATTACTCATTCTGTATCCTTCTACCTTCTAGCAAGCACCTCAGCAGGTCTTAGCTCTTTTTCTGGAGGAGTGATGCATATGTTAATTCTTTATGGGTTTGTGTCCTTTGTCATCCTGCTTGGATTAGGTTAATCACAGGACATGGTAGCACCAAAAGATGGCCTAAAGGATCTCCTGCACTCCAGACATAATCTTTCTTATCTCCATAGTAGAGAAGCAGTCCAGTTTCTCCATGGTAATCTGTACTAATCATCACTCCTAAAATTGTTATTCCAATCTTGGCCTGTTGGTTTAAGGGTGTTAGAAGCTCAGAGTAGCCAAGGGAAGTCTGTGCTTCCAGTTAAATGGAATGTTTGTTGTGTCTCCTGGCAAGAGTGCCATTTCTTGGCTATCAGAATTTAAGGTGATGGGAACAGGAAGCAAAAATTTTCCTAATAGGTTACTAGGGGTAATAGTGAGTTGGAACTATTCCCTTTTCCACCCCTTGATTTTTTGACCCATGGTTCTTGGCTATGGGAGAAACTGTACCATATATTGGATGCATATACCACTTCTGGAGAACTTGCCTCAAGCCTTGGGTTGCTGCCACCTAATTGGCACTGTAAGTCAGTCTTCAAAGGCCATTCCATTTTTCTGTCAGGCCAGCAGCTTCATGATTGTGGGGACCATGGTAAGACCATAATTGTGGATGCACTATCACACTTTTGGCTATGAAGTGAGTGCTAAGGTCAGAAACAATACTGTGTGGGATACCATGGTGGTAGATGAGGCGTTCTGTAAGTCCATGGACGGTGGTTTTGTCAGAAACATGTGCAGGAAAGGCAAATCCATAACTAGAAGAAGTATCTACTTCAGTAAGGATAGAGGAGAGAGTTGTCCTTTCCACAGAGAAAGTGGTTCAGTGTTTGTTGTCAACCTTTCAGGAGGTTGCTAGTCATCCTGGGGAGATGTGCTCAGGGTTGGTCTCTGCTATAGGGAGATCTGACACTCAGTATCTGTAGCTAGGTGAGCCTTTGTGAGCAGCAGTGCATGCTCATGCATACACTCCATTTCTGTGTCCGTGACCATTTGTTCACAGGCCCATTGGGCAATGACAGTGTCGGCTGGGGAAGAAGTGGCCATCCTATCTACTCGATGGCTCCTCAGCTGAAGTTGGTTGGAAGTTTTCACTTGCCTGAGAACTTGCCAAATCCTCTTTGGAGTCTTTAACCCCATGAGTGTTGAGAAAGAGCTGGTCTGATATCATGAGGGTTATTTGTCCTTTTAGATTTAATATTTAAGTGCGACTACCTGAAGACAGTAATGGCTTTTGTTTCAGAAATAAAATTGTGGTACCATAGCATTCTAGTACTTATTAGTAAGATTATATTTATTTGTACTCGGACAACACTTTTTCCTTAAGTTTTGAATTTGAATTTTGACTTATACAGAAGATAGAAATGATAGAAATACTATTCATACTGCTCTTTTAAAAATGCTTATTTTATCTGTGTGAGTGTCTTACCTGCATCAAAATATGTGTGTATCTGTACGTGCCTAGTGCCTGAGGCAGTTAGAAGACAGGATGTCAGAACTGGAGTTGCTTGTGGTTGTGAGCTGCCACATGGGCATTAGGAACCCTGGGTCCTTATACTGCAGTCAGAGATCTTGACTGCTGAGCCATCTCTCCAGAACTTCATACTGCATTTAATGGCTACAAGCTGTATACAAATACTAGAATTGTTACTAAATAAATTACTGAGTCTCTAGTGATCTTTGTTTGACCACAGTTACATTGAGGCAAGAATGGCAGCCAGTAATCCAGCCTGGCACAACTCATTGCTTGCAGTTCAATGCTTTTTTTTTTTTTTTTTTTTGGCAGTAGGGAAGAGCATGGTTTGTCTCATCTTTCCCTTAGAACAAAAAAAATCACAATGCATTTTCTTCCTCCTTCAAACTTACTTTCTTTACATTTTAATTAATTTTGTGTGTGGGTGTGCTTCATGGGTACCACAGCGTACATGTGGTGGTCGGAAGAGAACTTGTAGGAATCATTGCTCTTCTCACCCATGTGAGTTCTAGGTGGCAAGCCTTAGGTCATTTGATGGTTCATGTTTTCCTTTATTTTGAGAAGTAAAGTTTTATGCTAATACTGGAATGCGGCATTAAGAAATATGAACAGTGCTTATATTTTTAGCTCTCAGGAAAAATTCACTTATTTCAGTATCATGTAGAAGGAATTAAGTTATATTTTACTTTCATTTTATTCTTTGCCTTTATAAGTTTTATCTTTGTAAAGTAGCCTAAAATGTTGTGTTTTTATCTGTTTGCCAGCGGTCTTAAGTTACAAAGTGTCACAGTGTAGCTTGTTTAGTTGGCTGTTTACTTGTATCACAGACTAGATCACTGCATTTGTGTTCTCCATACATTTGCCTTTTTTTCCCTCTGAAAGAATGTTTTATTTGACAGAAAACCTGACCGTGAAAGGGCTGAGGATTTTGATCACGTGAGTCGTGAATCTTACTATTTTGGCCTCTCCCCAGAAGAACGCAGAGAGAAGCAAGCTATTGAAGAGTCTCGTTTACTCTATGAGATTCAGAACCGGGATGAACAGGCTTTTCCAGCCCTTTCTGTACGTATGTAGAGATTGTAAGGTTAATGTTTAGAAGTTTTTCCTCAGTGCATTTTGTAGTACATAATAATTTCAGGTGGTGAACTTAAATTTTTAAACTGAAAATATTTTAAATATTACTTCGACTTTGGTGTGTGGTATGTGCTTGTCATCACAGCTACTTGAGAAACAAGAGAATCCTTGAATTCAAGGCCATCTTGACCATATAGTAAGATTGTGTGCTAAGGTAAAAAGGAGGGAGGGGAATTGAAGGTAGAACGTGTCCTCATCCTGGTCTAATAATGTTACTGAGAAAACTGCTAACAGGTGAGTTGAGTGATTGAGTTGGTTTGGTCACCTAGTAATCCTGAGATTTTCTTTCAGACTGACTTGTGATCTGCAAGCACATCCTGAGTGCAAAGGCTTAGTTCTCAGTTGACCATTTACAAGGTTTTTCTGAACACTCAGGAAACAGTGATCACTTTGACCCACATACTACACTTGAGTGTGCTCACCATGTTGTTTTGAGCAAGAAGCACATGTATCTGTCGTGCTCCATGTGTCAGCTGGGCTGTACTGGATACTTCTGATGAAAGGAATAACTCTACCTTGGTTTTTTTTTTTTTAAACTTTGGGATGCAATCAGAAAGGAGATCTATTGTCATGTAGGTAAGGCTCTTAATTTAAGTCTTGGCAAACGGTATAAAATGGTAACACTGACTGAAGCCAGGTGGGATGCTGTTGAAGGCTCCCCACTATGCCACAGACAAGAGCAAAGCTACACATGTTCACTTTCCTGTTTCCTGTGAGCTCAGTCTGGAGCTGAGGGAGGGTGGCAGAAGGTTCCAAGTCAAGTATGGCATCGTCTGCTCAGTGGTCCCTCATGCATTGTCATTGTTTTCACATAGCTTTGCTTAGTGAAGCTGACGTTGATATTCACTCTTCTATTCAAACTTCTCTTCTTAATTAGCGAATGGCAGAAGCAGTGTCGCTGGGTTTCCTACTTCCACATTTTGAGATTTACATTGACCTGCTGTTGGAGTTGATAGTGGCCTAGGTTTGTTTACTAGAAATGGGAATAGAAGACTAAGCCTCTCTCCTCTTGTGTGAGTCATTAAATGCTGTAGCAGGAGTTTAGAACCTTTGGTGATAATTCATCCTAAAAACCCAAGCTACTGTATCTGGTCCCTTTGTTTTCCAATAGTACACGTCGTTCGGAGCTCAGGTGGTTTACTCTTAACTGTATTATTTCAGTAACACATGCTAATTGAGATTTTCCCCATCACAACAGACCTTGGGAAGGCTGGTAGCAAAGGTGTTATATTACTATATGAATTTCAGGATAGTAGCTAGGTCAGTGTGCTCTCCTGAAACTGATTGATACTTAGTAGTAGACTATTAATGTGGAACATGTAATTGAGTGTGGATTCTAGATGATAGCCATAATTACCTATCAAGTTGATTCTAAAGTATAAAATTATAAGGCTTTGAACTTGAAGAATTTTGATTAGAAGTATGAATGTTATTTTTAGAGCTTGTATCCATATTTGTAAAATTTTAATACCAAGTATGATTTTATTTTAAAGAGTTCATCAGTCAGTCAGTCACCTTCTCATAATAGCAACTCGTGTGTCCCGAGGAAGTCTTCACATGCAAGGGACAGGAAGGGAAGCATGCGGAGAGCAGATGCGGAGGAACGAAAGGACAAAGGTACACTGCTTTATCACAGAAGATATGTGACATCTCTGACTGTTTCAAGTCCTAGACAGTATTTCTTCCCTTATTTGTAGTTTTGTTTTCTGCAGTTTTATGTATTCAAGTAAACTATAATCTGGAAATAATAAATGGAGAGTACCAGAAGTACTTCCTGTGAGTCAAACTGAGTGCTGTTCTGCTTAGCACGATGATGTCTGTGCTATACTGCTGCTTCCTGTACACGTGGATGGCCAGTGTTTCCATACTGTATATGCTGCCTGCCCACCAGTGTCTTAGTGGCCACCCTGAATTTCTCCTTGAGAGGGTGGGACAGTGCTTGTGTTCTAGTAGTGCTTCCATAGTGCAGAGTAGAGATGCTGGCAGTTTGAGTAGGTCGTCGAGAAGTCCTAGAGTACTCTTTTTTTAAATGGAAAGGTAGAAGTATAAGGTCTTTGTAAAAGGTACATTTATGTTTTTGGAATTCTGTTTTACTACAGTAGTAGTTTCTGCTGACTTTATAGGTACAGGGAAAAATTCATAGTATAAAACTTGGTATATGCAGAGTCTGAGATATCAGCCGGTGTATTGTTTCTATCCTGGATAAGAGGGGATTGGTGGATTGGGAAAAGACACTTAAAGTTGTTAAGCTGTTCACCTGCTGTTGTATAGTTGACATCGGAGAGAAATAGTGACAATGAGCTAAGACATTACTTGTATTTCTGTATTTAAATCCAACCGAAGGTTGATTCTGCCTTTTTTTTATTCTTGATCTGTTGCAGACTCTCCACGTGGCCATAGTCATGTGGATAAAAAACCCGAGCCAAGCACACTGGAGGTAAAGGTCTTATATTTAAAACTTTTGCTTACCTATTTGCTGTGCATGCATGGGTGTGTGCACACCATGGTGTGTATGCAGAGAGCAGAGAACAGTTTTATTTCCTGCTACGTGAGTCCCATGGATTGAGCTCAAGCCACTAGTGGCAGGCACCTTGGTTGCTGCACCATCCCACTAGTCCCAAAAGTTTTAAATGTTAGTTGCTTCTTGTTGTTTAATGCTGAGATAGCGTAGGAAGAAGAGGTTCAGTAATGAGATTGAAAGCATTTAGGTACTTTATAATTTAATGAAATAGAAAGACAGAAACTCGGATGCAGCTTGAGATCATTAATGTCTCATTACCTCCTCAGGTTACCTTACGGTGCCCGGTCTGAATAGTTGCGAAACAGTGTTTTCATGTTTACTTTTTTTTTTTTTTTTTTTTTTTTTTGGTTTATCAAGACAGGGTTTTCTCTGTAGAACTCTGGCTGTCCTGGAACTCACTCTGTAGACCAGGCTGGCCTCTGTCTCAGAGATCCGCCTGCTTCTACCTTCCAAATGCTGTGATTAAAGGCATGCGCTACCCTGTGGGGTCTTAATTTTCATCACTCTACAGAGTGAGGTTTGTAAAGGAGACTGTAAATGCTCTTGGAAGTCATACCCCAAATACAATCTCCCCAGTACTGTGACATAGCAAAGCACAGGCCAAGTTAAACGGGAGTGGGTTCTCTGTGAACTACCCAAAATGGAGGTCTCTTAATTACAGTGTGACTTTTCTTGCTCTCAAAGATCAGCGATGATAAATGTACAAGAGTTTCATCACCATCTAAGTCAAAGAAAGAGTCCCCATCTCCTATAGAACAAGTAAGTTTACTGGACTTGGCATGGGGGGGCACCCTTCTCGGGGTTTCTTTGCTCTGTATATGAAAACGTCAGTGTTGTAAATGGCAGAATTTATTTTTGATATGTGTGCCATTAAAATTTTTTTTATTAATTTATTCTACTTAGTCTAGAATGTTGTAAAATTTCCTGGAATATCATTTATAGCCACTCTTTGGCCATTTTTGTGCCATAATTTTGAGTTAAGTTTACAGTTGCTAACTTTTATGTTTGGCACCGTTGTTTATTTTTGTGCTGGTTCAGCAGAAAATAAAAAAGAACATTGAAAATTAGGTGCACTATCAATCACTGATGAATTATTCTATATCCATTTAAAAGGACCAGTAGTTTGCCAAGTAAATGAGCACACTTGACTATCAGCAGACATTTTGGTTCTTGGTCTAATGCTGTTGCCTCAACGTTGTGTTAGCAAAATGAATATACCCAAGTGCAGTTTTTAAATTTTTGTGTAAGAATCTTTTGGGGGAAAAAACCCAAAGACTTCTGTGATGGCAGTAGGCAAATTTGTTAATATGAAATGTGTTAACTTGTTATTCTTGGCCAGTGAGTGAACTCTTGAGACTGGCATGAATAATTAATTATATGCTTGGTTTTATAGTAGGGCCTTTTTTTCACTCAAGATAAATTTGTTACTAAAACGTGTGTCAAAGCGAAATAACTCATACTTTTCCTGCCGGCCGGCCCGCCCTCCGTCCCTCCCTTCCCCCCCCCCTCTCTCTTTCTCTTTCTTTCCTGCCATTCTTGAAGAAGCCAGCAGAACATATACCTTTGTCAAATCCAGCTCCCCTTCTAGTTTCTCCAGAAGTACATCTCACTCCTGCGGTGCCTTCTTTACCAGCCACTGTGCCAGCCTGGCCAAGTGAGCCTACAACTTTTGGACCAACAGGTTAGAAAAGAATTTGGAAAAATTTCCAACCAGTTAACAGTGCCTTTCAAATCAGAAGTTTTAAGTTCTTGAGTGAGATCTTGACCACAGCAGACTTAGGAATGTCGAGTTCTTAGCGCTTCTCGTGGTTCCAGAAGGACAAGTGCATGTTCATGGTGTTCATTGGGGTATGCTTTTATCGTGTGGGTCTGCCGACATTTGAGCCAGTTACCCCTCTTGTCAGATTGTTGTCTTTGGTTACTCAGCAATGACTGGTGGCACAGTTTGTGTTTCCTCAGTAGGCAGCACTGTTTATTGCATCTCCATTAGGACTCTTTACAAGGACTTTGCCTGAAACATTTTATTGGGGGAACTATAGTTAGAAGACATTGACTCGGCTTGTTTCCTGGATGGTTACTAAAGTACTTAAGGTTGCTTACTGTGCTCTGCCTTAGAAGGTGTATAAGTTGTGCAGTATTGTTCATTTACCACAAATATTTCTAGATGAAAATAACTTTGACTTTTTTTTTTTTAATAGTTTTTGTTTCTTTCCCTGTTTTTCTTAGGTATCCCTGCTCAGATTCCCATGTTGTCAGTGACACAGACCACTGGACCTGATGCTGCCGTGTCACCAGCGCATTTAACACCCTCTCCGGTTCCTGTGTCAATTCAGGCCGTTAACCAGCCCTTGATGCCTTTGCCTCAGACAATGAGCCTCTATCAAGACCCCCTCTATCCTGGGTTTCCGTGTAGTGAGAAGGGAGATCGAGCCATTGCACCACCTTATTCACTGTGTCAGACCGGCGAGGACCTGCCTAAAGGTGAGGGAGGCCGTCTCTAGCCTCCAGTTGCTGTTTCCCCAAAGTACACACGTGGTTAGTGAGAAAGACCACTGAAAGGGTACAGTGAGGAGCAGAGAGCTGATCATCTGAGTGGTCAGGCCTGTTTTAGCTTGGTCTTGGTGGAAAATGAGTTTTTGTTCCTCTTTGCTTTTTTGTTTTCTGTTTTTGTGTTTTGCTTTTTTTCCTTCCATAAATAACTTTGACAGCTTTGAAGTCATTTCTAAGCTTTAATTCATTTGTTAAAGAATTATTTATTTTAGGTATATGAGTACACTGTCACTGTCTTCAGACATACCAGAAGAGGGCATCAGATCCCCATTACGGATGGTTGTGAGCCACCAAGTGGTTGCTGGGAATTGAACTCAGGACCTTTGAAAGAGCAGCGGACAGTGCTTTTAACCACTGAGCCATCCAGCCCAAGCTTTAATTTGTTTTGTAGGCAGTGTCTCTCTATGTAGTTCAGGCTGGCCTGGAGCTTATATCCTGCCTCAGTCTCCTGGGTTCTAGTTTATAAGTATGCACTGCCTGCCAATACCTGATTTGATTTATGGGAATCTTACTATTTTTCCCAATGTTTTCATTTTGCAGTTCTTGAAACCACTACAGAGTATATGAAAAATACACTGTTCATCTGAATTTCTCCCAGATTGAATTTTAATCAGATAAACTAAGTTTAAGCTATTTGGGGACTTAGATGTTTATGCAGAGGAAAGTGTAGCAGACCTGAAATTGCCTGCTAGTAACTGCCTGTGTTTTGTTATGTTTCTATTTTTGTGTTTTACTGGACAGACAATACAGCAGGAAAATGTCTTTAGAGCTTTAATAGTTGATGTTGGCAGAAAGTAAAGGTTATGTAATTTTAGTGAAAAATTATTTTTTTTTTCAGATAAGAACATTCTTCGGTTCTTCTTCAATCTTGGTGTAAAGGTATTTACATCTGATCTTTTTAAAGTTAACCTCATTACTGTAAATAGTAAAATTTAAAATATTTAACTCCTAATTGGTAATTTAAGGTTTACTAAATGGTCCCTTTTATGTTTGGTAATAGTATAGGTTGTAGTTTTTGCTTGCTTTTTCTTTTAATTGATAATAGTTTGGCCTTGGAATATATGAAGGGGCAAACCAAGTTCCTGGACTATTGTTCATGGGATGTCCTTGATGGGGGAGTTAGAAGAAAGATCTTTTTGAAGTTGTACTTTAGAAAACTTAGGTCTTTCGTCCTGTATAAGCCATTGGGTGTTTCTGAAGCCTCCTAGTCTTTATTATGCAAACCTGCCCCTGATTGGAGGGAATGAAAGCCTTGCTCTGTAAGGTGGGGACATTGCTCATTAGCATAGCAGAGTTGGGGCTGTGGGAAGTGGCTAACAGAAAAATAGCTTTTTTTTAGAAAGGCCGCATGTTCTGTCTTTGACAGGAATTCATTTCTGTCTTTTCTAGAAACATGGAATAAACATCAGGTACCCCAATCTTGTAGCCCGCTTCAGAAAGCCATATACTGTATTCCGGTGCCTGATTATATTTACCTTATAAATATATAAGGTATAATTCAGTGTCTGATTACGACCCTAGATCATGCTGGATTTTTTCATAATTTGATTTTTTAGTTGAATACAAAGGAAGGATTTAAAGCATTTGTTTTTCATCCTTATCCTCTGTTAAGAGGTCTGATACGTTAATCCTTGGCTATTGGAATACTTTGAGGACTCCTAGTTAATGAGCCCTGTTGGAGACTGTGTCTTGTTTGAGCATTTTTGAGCAGGCTAGTGAGTGGGGCTAGCTAAATTCTCAGTGGCTAAGATGATGATGCTTCCTGTTAATCTGAGTCGGACCAGCACGAAGGGAACAGGGTCAGGAAGCGATGACTTGATTCCAGCTCTTTTCATGTTGGCTACCACTGTGATCCTGTAGTATGTTTTTATATGCACGAGAGACTTAAGCTTAAATGCCTTCAGAAAGACAGCTTTTTAACTTCTTGTATTTCTGTTTATTTTGTGCTTTTTTTTTTTTTTGTCTTGTCTTTCAGGCATATAGTTGTCCTATGTGGGCCCCACATTCTTACCTGTATCCTCTGCACCAGGCATACATGGCAGCCTGCAGGATGTACCCAAAGGTCCCTATTCCTGTATATCCTCAGAATACTTGGTTTCAAGAAGCCCCTCCTGCTCAGAGTGAAAGTGACTGTCCTTGCACTGATGCCCACTACTCTATGCACCCTGAGGCCAGTGTTAATGGTCAGATGCCACAGGCAGAGATTGGACCGCCTGCATTTTCTTCACCTCTGGTTATCCCTCCATCTCAGGTGTCTGAAGGTCATGGTCAATTGTCTTACCAACCTGAACTGGAGTCTGAGAACCCAGGGCAACTTATTCATGCTGAATATGAAGAGTCACTTAGTGGCAAGAACATGTATCCACAACAGTCCTTTGGGCCTAACCCATTTTTAGGTCCTGTTCCCATTGCACCTCCTTTCTTCCCTCATGTTTGGTATGGGTATCCTTTTCAGGGATTCGTAGAAAATCCTGTAATGAGGCAAAATATTGTCCTGCCCCCTGATGATAAAGGAGAGTTGGATTTGCCTTTGGAAAATCTAGATCTGTCTAAAGAATGTGATTCTGTCTCAGCAGTAGATGAGTTCCCAGAAGCCAGAGTTGAAGGTGCACATTCTCTCTCGGAAGCAAGTGTGAGCAGCAAGCATGAAGGCCGAGTGGAACAGTCATCCCAGACACGAAAGGCAGACATAGACTTGGCTTCAGGTTCTTCTGGAGTAGAAGGAAAGGCTCATCCACCCACTCAGATTCTAAACAGAGAGAGAGAAACTGTGTCTGCTGAACCTGAGCCTAAGAGGACCATTCAAAGTCTGAAAGAAAAACCAGAGAAAGTAAAAGATCCCAAGACTGCTGCTGATGTGGTCAGCTCGGGGGCCAACTCTGTGGATAGATTGCAAAGACTAAAAGAAGAGAGTTCAGAAGATGAAAATGAAGTGTCTAATATTTTGAGAAGTGGCAGATCCAAGCAATTTTATAATCAAACTTACGGAAGCAGGAAGTACAAAAGTGATTGGGGCTCTTCTGGTCGAGGTGGCTATCAACATGTGAGAGGAGAGGAGTCCTGGAAAGGGCAGCCCAACCGAAGCCGGGATGAAGGTTATCAGTACCATCGACATGTTAGAGGACGCCCATACAGGGGAGATAGGAGGAGATCAGGGATGGGAGATGGCCACAGGGGACAACACACTTAACGGTTAGTTATTGCTCATGTTGTAGAGCTGTAGCCTTTTCTTAGGAATATTTCTGAAGGCTTTAAAATCATTACAATAAAAACCCAAATTGGAACTATCTCCTCCCCTCCCCTTTACCCTTAATTCCTATTCTGATGAGACTTTGAACATGAGTTCAAGGGGCAGATGAATTTTTGGCATTGTGGTTTTTCTTACTCAGAATCTGTTTATTGGGTTACTGACCCCATAAAAAGTAAACGTGACTTTAAGTATTTTTTTATAAACAGCTCAATATAAAACATAGACAGTGTTTGATTTTTTTCCTTGTGTAAGTTTGATTTAAAAACGTTGGAAATGTGTACTTTTTAGTGTTTACTAAAGTGATAAGAAAATAAAGCATTCAATACACTATAGATTCCAAAACATAACATTGCACCAAATAGAAATGTATATTTTATTATGCAATGCCTTAGTCATAAACTGGGCTCAAACAATCCTCAGCCTAAAACACTGTTGTCTTTTAATATGCTTCCAACCCAAAGGCCTTTCATCTCAGTATCTGTCAAACTTGAATAACGTCTTCTCTTTACTATTACACACGAGGCAGCCTATTAACCTGTGTCTTAGAATCGTTGTATATAGTTCTTTTAATATCCATAGGGTATATTTTTGAATTTTTTGGTGAGTATTTGTTGAATTTGAGATAGCATACAATAGATGTTTAAGAAATAGTAGGAAGTCCGGTGAGACGGCTGTTTCCATCAAGAACTCCTAGCACTGCTGTAAATATCATGGTGCCTACTCGAAGGGAATGTAGATGCTATGCATTTTGGAAATAATCTGCATCTGTTAAAACTGCAGAAGTTTTTTAATGCCACTTTAACACTAATGCACTGATAGATTCTAAATATTTTGTGAGAAATGTTGAAATGTTTAACCTGATAGGCTTCTCTATAAAAGAGTGTTTTGTTTTCTCCCTGCACCATGAGCTGTGTTTATCACTTTACAGTTGCATGTTCTACTTGTCATAGCTGGAATTATTGTATTAAAAGAACATGGTTGTGATTCGTAGTTCTTCTCTAGAGGATGCTGCTAGAACGTGGTTTTACTTTGCATTTTGTAGCTCTTTCCCCGTCAGTGCTGTGTCCGGTCCTGCTTCTTCCAGTCCGCAGTACTCACTAGAGGCTCCTTCGCATGTTGCACTCTGTTCTCATTTGGAGATTGGACTCTGACGAGTTAGCACAGTATTCTCTCCTCTGTGGTACTTCGTAAAACTAACTGTACTTTGTATTTCTTATTTGTACATATCAGTGTGAGAAATCTACCTTTTTTATGTTGCAATTACTTGTGATCAGGCAGGCAGCTTGAGTGCTATGCAAATAGTAGGTAGTATGGTGGTGATTTTCTTTGCATGTTGTGTGTGATATACCTAGCCAGAAATAGATGTGGCTTTTGTTTTGGGGGGCAAGTTACTTTTAAAAGCAAATACAATTCACTTGAATTTGACAAACTGAAGCAGACAAGTTTTCTTGGTCCTCTGATAACTTGGGATGTTTGGCTGTCAGCTAGGCTCAGTGAAGCTGCACTGTACTGTAATGATGGTATTTACCTCTGTGCTGTTTTAATTACCCTCATGTCTGTAACTGCTGATTTGAGTAGTGATTAGCATTTAGAGATTTTGTAATGTAGGGCTTTAGAGAGCACTTTGAAAGATAACATTTTATTATGATGGTGCTAGGTAAAAAAATTTATAGCATGGGATGTGAAGAAAAAAATTGAGAACCCATTGAAAGGAATTTGTTGTCTGCTTCTAAGCTAGAGTGGTTGTAAAGGTTCCGCTCTGCTAGTGCTTCAGTATCCGTGGCTGAATTATGGATAAGAACTCTAGAGGGTCTTCTGTTTATTTAGTCCCTGCTTTTTATGTAGAATTGGTTTTATCTAATAGTTTTAGTATGGAAATCGCCTTTTGATATAATAAGCCAGATTTTAGAAATTTGATGTTTGGTCTCAGGAGCTCAAAAGAAGTAGCTTTTTTCAGTGTCTTTTGTATTACTGATTTGGGAAATGTTGAAAGATTGGACAGGGAAGAAAGAATAGCGCTTGTGTCCTCATGATCACTGTCTTACCTTAGTGACAGTCAGTACTTTATAGCTCCTGAGGGAAACCAATCAACTTCTGTTTTCCCACCTGACCTCCAGGGCATGATGGATCAGTGATCAAAGAATTGTAGCCTGTGGTACTTTGTTTTTGACCCCTTGAATAGAACTCTGACTTTTATAGTTTTAAAATGATCAATCTTTGTATGAAGGTCAGTTTTGTTTCTTTAGGTATCAGAGGATTTTGCCTTATCCTGAGGTCAGACTAGGGCCAAGCAAGCTTTTTCCTTCACATGAACTGTCATATTGTATTTTGACCTCTTTTTTCTACAGGAGAAAAGAAAGAGAAAAATGACAGCTGGAAGTCCTTTGTATTGGCACATGATAAATCTTGATGATGGGCTAGATTCTGAACAGATGCTTCCACTGACCGAAGCTCATGTGTTTAGTGTAGGTGCTGTAGTTGGAGTAGGCCCCACCTCTGCTCCTTTCAGTGTTGTTGCTGTTCAAGTTACTTCCTCTCAGACATCCTCCATTCTTGCCCCACACACTCGTTGGCAGCAGAATGCTGGCAGCTTGTGACCCTCATGTTGTTTCCTGTAAGTCTGTTTCATGGCAGGGCTCATACCTGCCTTAGCCTGACAGGAGTAGGTTTTCCGAAACCCACTGTGCTGAGACAGTTCATGTGATGCAAACTATTTCTTGGAGTGTGGTGTTTTCTTTGGCCCAAGGGTAAACTAAGATGCCTGTGAACTGCAAACTTGCTTATGATTGACTTGGTGCAATACAGTTCCTTTCTAAACAGTTTCTGGTTTAGAGAATACTCAGCCATCCTGGAAACTAGCAATATTTATTTTGCCTCGTTTATTTTACCTTCAGTTTTCGATGAAGTGAAGGTTTTCCTTCACTTAGGGTACTTAGCAAGGTCTATTCTAGTGTAGCTGAAGAGGAAAGCTATACTGTTTCTGTTTACTGTATTTTGTTCCTTTTTTTAAATGTCTAATTGCTTTTTTAAAATCTTCACAATGGCTCACTTGAGCATATCAATTTGAAAGAACTAAGATTTTTTCCTACTTAATGTCAGCCATTGGCTCTCCCGAAAATTGGGACTGTTTTTTGTTTTTGTTTTTGTTTCCCCTTTCCCTAAAATTATAAGTTTAGAGAATCTTGTAAGAGTGGTGGGTGCATGTCTTAATGCTGAGAAGCAGCAGCTTTGGGGTTGAATTTACTTGAATGGTTTAAGAAAAATTGCATTGTTACAAAGCTAGAAAAAATTTACGTATGAAAAATGATCCTAGCCTTACACTGAGTACAGTAATACTTATAAGCATGTGAAGATGTGATCCTTTGTGATGTTACTTGTAAAAACATATATACATATCTATACATATCTTTTGAAGTGTTGAAAGGAATAGTACTTTATATTCTTTATCATACCACTTTTGTAAGTGTTGAATATATTGCTGTTTATTTTTCTATGTTCTGTTTCGTAGCCTTAAGACGTGTTTCAAACGATCTGAATGTATAAAACAAGTCAATGCCCTACATGGTGTGATGCTGCATTATATATACAACCGTGTGCATATATTAAATTCTGTCTGTCAATTCTGCTTGGGATTTTTTGGTCTTTGGGTAACCCAATATATCACATGTAAATCTGAGGATGAATCTTAGTAAACTCTTGAAAATGACATGGTTTCCATGTATTTTTCATGCTAGAAGATAATTACAGTAGAGGCAACTCAAAGTGGGATTTATACCTATGGGTGCTGTTTGCCTATTAAGCATTGCAAAAGTTAGACCAGGTCATGGTGCTAGTCTGGTGGAGTCGTACCTAATTTCAATCAATGTAGGTGGCTTTACAAAGGCCCATCCCTTTCAGCACACTGAAGCAGGGATGCAGAGTACCTAGGCAGTCGTTGGTTAAGGGACTTCCCCCAAAGGTAAAGGAATGTGTTTTCTAAAGACTGCATGAATTGGAAACTGTTTTCAGATACACTGAAGTACTATGAAACCTGTTTGCTTTTTGCAGTCCTGGGAATTAAAGTACAGACTGTCCATTTTAGGCAGGCGGTCTACTTTGAATTATATCCCTGGCTCTGAAAACACAAACTTCTTAAGTACATGTCCGTCATAAAGTAATTGACTCAAGAATAATCATTTTCCTTAAATTATGAACTTTTTCAGAAACTGGTTTTCTCAGAAGTAGACCTGAAAGTGCTGCTTATTTAGTGCAAGTACTTGAGAGAAACTGATCTCAGTATAGGCAGCAAGCTATATGAGGCTTTTTTTTCAGATTTATTTTTTCCTTAAATAAGTGCACATGAATGACTTTGCATGAGTGCAGGTGCCCTTTGAGGCCATTTTTCCTGGAGGTAGAATTAAAGGCAAGTAAATCAGCCGGACATGGGCACCAGGAACAGTGCTACAAGGCCAGGAGTGTGCTTTGTTTTTGACAGTTCATATCCCTTGCTTGAAACTCAAATACTACCTGCCTCTGCTTCAGTGCAGAAGTCAAGTCTTGTGCATCTGACCTAATATGCACTCTTGTGGTGTGTGTGCGCACTCATATAAAGTAATGTTTTTAAAAAATGGGGTATTGGTGAAGGAACTGGGACCTCATTGGTGCCCATTTTCTTTTTTTTTTTTTAAGGTTTATTCCATGTATATGAGTACACTGTTGCTGTCTTCAGACACACAAGAAGAGGGCATCAGATCCCATTACAGACAGTTGTGAGCCACCACTTTGTGGTTGCTGGGGATTGAATTTAGGACCTCTGGATGAGCAGTCAGTGCCCTTAACTGCTGAACCATCTCCAGCCCCAAATCATTTTTAATCCAATATATTTTAGTAATATTCTTTCCAGTTCTATTCTGGTTCTCCCTACATCTAAATTTTTTATTATCTAAAAATTAAATCTAATTAAATTATCTAAATTTAAATTTAGATATCTAAATTTTTGTTCTTCCAAACAAAAACTGAAAAAATTCAAGAGCTTCAGTAACAAAAATGTCTCCCTGGCATGTGGCTGACATACCAGTGGCACTGAATTGGAGACAATACTTTCCCTTTCCCAGCAGGTGTCCATACCTCACGTAGGACTGTGTGCTCTATAAAATCTCACTCTGCACACTGACCAGTTGTGGGTGTCAGCTAATTATTCACTGGGGAAAGCCCTGATAAGGGGTGGAGCAACGCAGTGATCTGTAACAGTAGGTTATTACGAGTTACTTTACTGTTTTCCTTTAGCAGAATAATCAAGTTTCCCCCTAGGTCTCATTGTGCAGGGATGTGCATGGTGAAAGGAACTGATGGCGAACGTGCACGAATATACACACAAATAAAACATGGTTATTCCTGTAACATTTGCTCCACTACTGCACCGGTATATTTGACAGGTGGTCCCTGTTGGAGGTTGTCAGGTTTGCAGTTGGAGGATGCTACTTTTCTCGGATGGTAATGCAGAGTACCTTCCAGCACCCTGAACACTAGTCAGTAGGGGTGAAACTTATAGTTGGGCACCAGCTCAATTTCTACATGCTTCTGTTACAGGTGGTAGGTATCTCAGCAATAGAGCCTTTTCTTCCCTTGTACAGAGTAGCCAATGGCAATAGCCTTTGATGTTGGGGAGGGGTATATATGGGGACCCCTTTGGTTTTTGATTTTTATTTTTTGAGACATGGTTTCTCAGTTGTAACTTTGGTTGTCCTGGAACTTGCTCTGTAGACCAGGCTGGCCTTGAATGCAGTTTGCCTGCCTTTGCCTCCCAAGTACTGGGATTAAAAACTTGTACCATTACCACCTAGCTTATAGGGACCCTTTGGCCAATAGCTCAATTGTTCTGGCACTGGAGGTTTTACTTGGTGGCATATCTAGTTGGGGTACTGTCTCATAAGGTAACTATTATTTTTACATATGTGTGTTTTAGAAAGCAGCTACAATAGTAGCCATATGGCGTTGCACTCTGCCACTGAGCCATCTCTTCAGCACTACTATGTGGGTCTTCTGAGAATGAGTTGACTGAGCTATCCAGATGAGGTTGAGGGTAGGGAGGAAGGAGAACACTTCTAATCAGTTGTGTGCTAGGGGGTTGTCCAGGTTAATAGAGAAGCCACAAGGTGGGAAGCAAGACTTGTGGTGCAGGATATTTGGTCACAGTGTGTTATTTACTAGGAAAAAAAAAAGTGTGGCTCAGCCTTAGCCCACATCTTTAACCCAAGAGCTTTCTGCTTGAATATTGTAGGATTAAATAAAGTCAACCCTAGATCAAGAGGCAGGGCAAGCAACCTGTTAACAGGAAGTGAACATAAGATTAAGAAAAAGCCATAGAGAGTAAGGAGGAGTCAGGAAGATGTCACAGGAAGAAGGGAGGGACATCTGGTTTGAAGGTCTTTTTGAGATGAGAGGCGCATTCCTTCTAGGACTTGCACTGTGAAGGAAGGTCAGCTGGTTGCTGTTCTTCCCTATTTTAGCTAGTGTGCTTTCACAGGAGCGTCTGGCTTAAAATTGAATGACAGATTTTGTTAAAAAAAATGTTGCAACTTGTTTTTTGTCAGTGAAATAAACTTCTAGTCTTACTCTTTTTGATAGCCCAACTCTGCACTGTGACACTGGCTCAGCTAGAGACAAGCTCGTGTAAGCAGCACAGGACTTCTTCCTATTGCGATGTCAGTTTTCGTATCTGGCTGAGCAGTAGTGGCATGCACCTTCTATCCCAGCACTAAGGAGGCAGAGGCAAGTGGATCTCTTAAATTCAAGAACAGCCTGGTCTGCATGTTCCAGGACAGCCAATGCTATACAAAGAAACCTGTTTTAAAGAAGCCAAAAAAAAGTTTAATATCTGATTTTGTATTTTCAAATTTCATTTGCGTATAATACTCTTATTCACATATTGTCATTAGAACTTTGTATCTGTAATAAATTCACAAATTTAAGCTACCCTTAATCAAGAAAAGTATTTGAGTATAATCTCATACCAAGATTAAGAGCATAGTGAAGGAAAGAAAGACCACACAGTGGTAAACTCAGAAACTGATGAAGGGAGAGATTTTATTCCATATACTTCTGCATATTTGCATTCTTTTACAACAGATATGTATTTATGGATTATATAAATTCATTTTTAGAAGGCCTAATAGGTTGCAGTCAAAACAAACTATCATTGTTTGCAAATTAATCAAGATCTATTACTTAAAAGTTCTAAAGTCTTGTCAAATAATTTTAATTTTCCTGTTCTGCCTGCCCTGTTCATTGTAATCCACCTTTCTCATAATTCCAGTTTGGCATATTAGTAAGATGTGGATGATGTCCTTTGTATCCAAACCTACAAAGGAGTATGCACTACAGCAATGGCTACTTTGTATTGCTATTTTCCCCTGCACATACTGGAGAAGTTGTTTAAGGTTGTCCTTGGTTGAATCTGTAGTCTATAAATATGTAGGGCTGGGGATGTAGCTCAGTTGTTAGAGTGCTTGCTTAGCACACACAAAAGCCCTGGGTTTGATCCTCAGCACTGCGTAATCCAAGCCTAGTTAGTGGGCTGAGAAATTCAAGGTTGTCCTTGGATACCTAATTTGAGGCCAGTTTGGGCTGTAGGGACATGCTGTCTCAAAACAAAACTAAAACTGAAACCCTAAAATCCAGATACTTAGGCACCAACTATAAAGACTGTATCTGTAGGGTTGTGTGTGTGTGTATACACATCAGTGTGTTGGGGCCAGAGGGCTGATATAAGGTGTCTTCCTCAAGTGCTTAAGTCCACTTAGCTTTTTGAGACAAGACCTTCTACTGAACATGGCGCTCATAGATTGTGTTAGGCTGACTGGCCAGTGAGCTTTAGGGATCTGCTTGACTTCACTTCCCAGTGTTGGTATCTAAGTCTCAAATATGGTCCTCATGAGTATGCAGCTTGCACTTTACTGACTGAACCATCGCCCCAGCCCACGCCTATAGTTATACAGGAAGCAAATATTCTTCAGAAATGCCTCCTCCCTAATCTCGATCAGTGATTATATATATTTATAAAAGTAACATTACTGTGAATGTTATTATAGATCTTATAGAATGTAAGAACTAAAAAACAAAAAAAACAAAAAACCAGAGTTAAATTAGGGTACTGAAATAAATTTTGACAGATGTTCAAAAGCACCAAAAACCCATTAAAAACAATGCATAAGTTGGTCATAAACATCTTCCAACAACGGTGTTTGTAGCAGACACTGTTCCTTGGAAGCACACACTAATAGAAAATAACAGTGCACAGACTGAACACAAGTAGCAAATACAGCCCTGATGCTTATGTATCAGACCGCAGCAGTCTGTGACTGGCTTTTAGAAGAGGGCAGTTCACTGTACACTGTATACTGGTACACTTAGCAAACAGGTAAGTATAGATTTTATCCAAGATTTTAAAGATGGGCAACACCAGAAAGCATCTGGTACATAAATATAATACAATACACAACTGAAAATCTCCCCGCAGACCATGAAAATCTGGAGGTAATTGATATATCTGAAATGTCTCCATGTTAGTGTAGTATGCACAGAGGTTTAATCTTAAGAACAGAATAGTTCTTAAAACAACAATTTACAAGACAACTGGCTTTTGATGTCACATTAAGAAAATCATACTTCAAGCTCCAGAGTATGTGGGGCCATAAAACCTGATTAAAGTTTTATATGATAAAAATCCCAGTAAGTAATGGCTTATTGATAAGTTCAGATTCAATCTAATCATCCAAGAAAAAGTAGTTCCCACTCTTCTTTTGTTCTACGTCCTGGAAAAAAAAGAGAAGTGACACAGTGAGCACTTGTCCTCTGTGGGGCTGCTGAGCAGTGTTGTCCCACTAGAGTAGCTGTGGCAGCTCAGAATGCTTGCTGTAGGACTGCAATATTCTTGGGGAAACATAAATCCCATCTTTAAGTTCCTGGTACAAAAGGCAGCAGACTGTCAGCTTGAAACCTGCTTATTATGTAACAGATACTTAAAATAGATTTTCTTAGCACTGTGTATTAATAGTGCACTTACCCTACCCACCACCTGATCAGCTAGCTTCTCATTAGTTTTTATGCTCTATGACTATCCAAAATGACCCAGTATACAGACTTAATAAGCAAAGGAGAACGTTTATTTTAACCCTATCTTAAAAACTTGAGATATTGGTTAAACGTATTATCAAAAGTTTCTTCATTAACAAAATTCCATAAATCGACTTTCAAGGGCACATAGTAAAGTTCTCTAAGAAGTTTTATTCTTTTAGACACAAGGTTCCATTGCGTAGCCCTGGCTGTCCTTGAATTCAGAGATCTGCCTGCCTCTGGCTCCCCAGTGCTGAGACAAATGGAGTGTGCTACCACATGTTCCAGATTTCAAGGCAATTTAAAGTGGCACAGAATAAATGAGAACAGCAGATATATTACAGTTGTTGCCTTATAGCAAGACTACAAAATATGAGAGGAAAACAACCCAAATTCTAAGAATCAGTATGATATGGTATAAATTTTTAAGAAAAAGATGTGTGTTTATTATCCACATACCTTGATTGAATTGAGCTTATTTATTCGTGGTCTGTAGTTGTTGGGGTCTCTTCTGAATGTAATTTCGAGCTGAGACAAAAATTTGTTCATGCCAGCCAAAAGAGTCTGAGGACTAGGGGGAAGATGAACAATTTTCATTCCATTTGTTTAAGGATCAAGAATCACCACTGCCCCTTCCTCTCAGCCAAGCACCAACGCTAACATTACAGCACACAATTTGATTGGTCCCATTTCTATACAAAACAAACTCAATATGGTCTGTAGATGTTGAAGAAAACATTAAGACAGAATGTTTAATGATTTTTTGCAGAACCCCAGATAGAAAGCAGGCTTTGCATCACTTTAGGAAAGCATTTTACACTTAGTTACTGCCATAAAAGTAAGTTTCCATTAAAAACTTTTAATGCTTTCATCCTTTATAGCCAAGCTCAATTATTTTTAGACATAGAGGTACACAGAGTTGTGAGCCATCATGTAGGTGCTGGGAAATGAACCTGTGTTCTCTGGAAGAGCATCCAGTGGTGTTAATCATTTGAGCCATCTTTCCAGCCCTCCAAAATTAAATTTTAAATTGGCTAAATAACAAATAATATGAATCATTTTAAAGCCTTCTGCAAACACAAAAGATCATTAGTGATGAAACAAATTTTACATATCTGAGAAACTTCCTGAGATGTACATATTCTCAATAACTGATGATAAAGAATTTAACATGAAAACAAAGACATTTGGGGATTTATGGTACTTTCCTTTGTGTTTTAGAGACAAGGTCTTACTATACAGATCTGGCTATCCTGGAAACACTAGGTCAGGCTGTCCTCTATCTTACAGAAATCTGCCTGGCTCTGCCTCTCATGCTGGGATTAAAGGTGTTCAACAATCATATCTGGCTGGTACTTCTATTTCATGAAAAGAATTATTCAAATAGCAACTTAGTGAGAACCAAATAAAATACATTTATGGGCCCAAAATGTGTTTGGTGATTTTATAAGCTCCAAGTTAATGTAGGTTTAGTTCTAGTGGTAAAATGATGTCTCATAGACAGACCTGGATTTTTAGTTTCCCTACAGTACAGACAGATCTAGACAGAACAATAAGAGAAGGTAAATGACCTTACTTAAACTGTTGTGGTATTTGGCATCTATTCCACTACAGTGTTGTTGGGCAAGTCATGTAATTCTTTGGATTTTATTCTGCACAAAAATTAAGTTTCTAAGGAATTTATATAAATAATCAACTGACAAAGTTAAGCTGGAAGAAAAGGTAAGAGGTTTGTAAGACTATCCGCCTGGGTCAAGTATTATATACTAGGCTGAAAACTACTGTAAGGCCCTACACAGTATTGCCTATAAACTTGGGGGTGAGGTAGTGTCACAGAATAAGAAACTGTCAACAGCTACCTGCTTCAAAGAAGAAAGCAATAGGACTTCAGTGTTTATGACCTTATTGGAAATTTAGAATGTGATAATTTTCCAATTGTTACAACTTAAATTTTACTTCCGAACATTTTCAAAAACATTTTTACCTGTTTGCAACTGTGTTCTTAGATGGAACACCATCAAAGACGATGACGCGATCTGCTAGGTAGGTGGCCATGATGAAGTCATGTTCTACAACAAAGGCTGTCTTTTTTGCATGGAGAATGAAACTGGAACACAACAATTGTAAACCTTTCATAGTTTTTAAGTCACAAACAGATTTGTATGTCACACACACAATCAAAATGATACTCTACAAGAAAGACATTTACCGTTTGACGACTCGAGCTGCCATTAATCTTTGCTCAGAATCCAAATATGCAGATGGTTCATCAATTAAATAGACATCAGCAGGTTTGCCCAAACAAAGAGCTAAAGCTACTCGTTGAAGTTCACCACCAGACAATGTCTGTACCTAATTGGAGAAGTTCAGAAAACATGTAAAGACATCCAAAGTCTGAAACACTGATGTGTACAGATGTATAAGGATAACGTTATGGTACCTCTTGGTCAATGATGTTTTCAATCTGTAGGGGCTTCATGACATCAGTCACAAACTGAGGATGAGTGTAAGCATCTCTTATCTTTTCATGCAGTAACTGGCGAACACTTCCCTGGTTTTAAAGGAAAAAAAAATTTAAATGATAAATTACTAGGAAAGAACTTTTCTGTTTATGAATATTAGTACTAACTTCAGACCAATATGAATTCAATTTCCCACCAATATATATCAATTCCATTCTTTTCCTTTTTCCTAGGGTCCTACTATATAGCCAACTAGGGTGCCTCTGTCTCTGAGTGCAGGTATTAATGGTTGGCCTGTATCACCATGCCTGGCCAATTCTAGTTTTGATGCCTATTCACCATCTCATTTTGAGGCTTTCTCAATGTTTTACTTATGTACATAATTGCCCTAATCATGTACGTAAGTAAAAAGGCAATACTAATCTTAAAACTGAAGAGCAGAAAGGAAATGAATGTTTCAGGGGAGAAATAATGAAGAGCAGGAATAATTCAAAATGTCAAAGTGGGTTTGAAAACACTGGATAATCTGTAGGTTATAACACACAATGCACACCACCTTATTCTCTTACTCTTAATTGAATCCTAAAAATGGCTTTTACTTGCTGTATGAAACAGAGCTGAGAGTGAGAACTTGAAACAGATCATGTGAAATACTAATGAAGGCAAACTGTTTGAAATGTATAACGGGGTCAGAGTTGTGACTGGAATACAGTAAGCTCAACATAATCCTTTCAGAAATCGAAGGACACTATTGCTTCAGTATAACATTCTCTTTATACTTGAAACAATTTGCCAGCATTTAATTTCCCTAATGCTGAATAACCTTGCATTTTAAAACTGTATTAAGTTATCTATCATTCATCAGCTGACCGACATGAGGGTCTGTGTACTGATTCTGCTGCTCACGTGTGTACACTGCTATGTTACTAGTACAACTGTTGGCGCTCACAGCTCTCTGCTAGAAATGAGCTGACTAGCTTTCCAAGGGGCTGTAGCTTTACATTCCCAATAGCAACAGGTGGCAACCAGTCTCTTTACAGTGTCTTTGGATTTTGTTAGTCCTTCTAGTGGTTGTAAATTGGTCTTCACCAGGTTTGATCTGCATTTTCTTAACAGCTAAGAGTGCCAAGCATCTTTCCATGTGGCTATAAGTCACCTGTATTTCTTCTTTGGAAGAATGTTTGCTTTTGGTAGAAGGCTCACATTAGGTTTGTAAAAAACAAAACAAAACACAAGAAAAGAAGAGATGAGACGAGAAGAGAGAAGAGAAGAGAAGAGAAGAGAAGAGAAGAGAAGAGAAGAGAAGAGAAGAGAAGAGAAGAGAAGAGAAGAGAAAAGAAAAAGGATTTTACAGTTACTTCCAGAGCCAGATGTGGTATCATACACCCATTGGCTCCAGCACTTGGGCAGTACTGTAACAGGTAGACTGAGAATCTCAGGTATTGTATTATATAGTAGATTCCAGGCCATCCTGTGCTGTATACAAGAGCTTTAGAAGAGGTGGAGATTAAACTCAGTAATTTAACTCATGTTAAACATATGCTCTACCACTGAGCTAATGCCCTAGCCCCTTACCAGAGCAAAAGACTAAAGGTATGTGCACATACATACAAATATAGATTTTAACAGTCAAGTTAAAATAACGACTCACTGTTGATTTAGGACTGATTTTCTGAGGCTTATAACTGACATTTAGAACCGGTACTTCTCCTGTAAAAAAACACAATTAACAATTACAGTGACACAAAAACTGCCCAGCCCTTTACCAGTCACCCTGTGGGATAGAGTAAAAGGCAATGTTCATGACAGTACCTCCTTCATCTGGTTTAAGCCTTCCAGCAAGCATTCTGATAAATGTGGTTTTACCTGTACCTGATAATACAACAAAAACAAAGTGAACCTTCACATTCCAAATATTCTTACTTGTTATAATCAGAGAAATTAGTCTTGAAGATGTTATGTGACAGTTCAAAGAGAAACAATTCTCTCTCACCTGTCAAATGCTAGCCTAAACTTATTAGAGGAACATCAGTGCTTTTTAATCAATGATCAGCCCACAGAACTTACGTTTTCTGATAGCTAAAAAATGCACTTGTCTTAATTACCACAGTTTAAGGGTATCATAGGTTATTTTATGATAGAAACGCCTATTATGATAGAAATGCCACCTGCCTCTGCCTCCCAAGTGCTGGGTTAAAGGAATGTACCACCATTGCCCAGCCAATAGTAAAACTATTTATGAAGGTAGACAAAGTGCTCTGAATTTCAAATAAAAATTCCAAACACAGGTACCCATGGAAAGTATTATAGCTGGCGTAACTGAGTCACCACCTGCCTATTTGCTGTCAGTCCTTCTGCACAGTGAGTGACTGTTCATGCACTAGTTTAATTCACAGAAAAACCAACCGAGTAGAAGCTGCATCTCTGTAGTAAAATCATAATATTAACCCATTTCAACTACAGCCAGACTAAGTTAGTTAATACCACAAAACTGTGAGGTTAAAGAATACTCTGGTGCTAGCCTTGAGTTATTTTCTCCATGAGCACAGATAATTACAGACCCAACTTTTACCATCACAAACTAAGGGCTTACCATTTTCCCCCAGCATCACCATGATTTCAGAGTCAGTGAACTCTCCAGCTACAATTGCTAGCTCGAACTCTCCCATCTTTTTCTTCATCCCGGGATATTTATACATGCACATCTTTTTAACTTCTTCTTCATTTGCTGTCTCAGCTACCTTAAAAACAAGTGATGCATCCCTGAATCTCAAGTTCTCTGTTGGAACATAGCCATCCAAAAATATATTTATGCCTGTTGGGAAAAAATTGCCATTAGATTAGTAAAGATCTAAAATAAATAATAAATAACTCTAAAATAGTGATTAAGACTGATCTTTGGAAATACATATATACTTTATACCTTTGTTAATATTAAGCCTGCATATATGCAGGTGTGTTTCCACAATGAAACCAGGCTGAGTACAGTGGCTGATGCCTACAGTCCAGTTAGAAGTCTGAGCTAGGTGCTAGACTGTGAGAGAAGCATGGCTTACAGCCCTTGCCTCAGAAAGATACATTTTTTACCGCCAAAACCAAAATAACTCCCTTCATCCGGTGTAAGATTCATTTTAAGTTTATATACGTGTATGACACAAGGCATCCTTCTGATGTATCCTTATATTGTCCTTTTAGGGTAAAATGATGGCTCAGCAGGTAAAGGTGCTTATCTCTAAGCCTGATGACCTGAGTTCAATCCTGGGACCTCACAGTATGGAAGATAACCAGCTCCTGAAAACTGTCCTCCGACCTACACATATACACTGCTGTATGCATGTGTCCCCACACACATATATACATAATCACACAAGGTAAATAAACAAATGAAAAATTAAAAAAAAAAGATCATACACAAGAAAAGAATATTTTCAGGTATGCCACTGACACAAAATACTTGGAAAAATATGTTTTTAAAGTAAGCAATTTTAAGCAGTGAGTACTGCTTTGACATAGCCAGATAGTTGGAAGTTATTACTGTATTTTTCTCAGATTAATTTTATAATTTCATAAAAACGAAATGAGCTAACTTCATTAATTTTTTGTTTCACTATGCAAAGATTAAAAACCATTTAGATTGTTTTCTAGTGGATGAAAGTGTACAGTACACAAAACCCTTCTTAAAATAGAACATTAACAATGCCATACAAATAGAAAACAAAAAGGAGATTATCAGGTATGTAAATATAATGAAAGACTTAGTTTCAGAATTTTTTTCTATGTATCAATGGGGAAAAGTAGTTGTAGGTCTTGAAAAAGTAAAGTCAGCCAGCATCTCCTCTGGTCCAAGAGCAATGTCAGGACATTTATACTCAAGCGTATGGCAGATGGGAAACCTTGGTAGTGATAAACTAACTTTTCTAAAAGTTTCATTTTTATTCTTCAAGTATTTAAAAAGTGAAAATGCAGAGTTAAAAATTAAACCCAAAACTTCTGGTGAAGAAAACGTAGTCCAAGTGATTCATTTAACAATTAAAGAAGCAAAAGACTTTGGTTAAAAAAACAAAAGGTGATGTCTCTACATTCTTTCTGTGCTAGCTAACCTATCAACTTGAAAATACCAAGTCTTAATGATAGCCACTTATATAGTTCAGAGAACTTGCATGCATATATAAATCTATATACATTTAAACCAAACTAGGATCACTGTGCAGACCCAGCATTTATAAGAGGGACTTTCAAGAATGCCTGCTGAGTTTATCCATACATCATCCTGATTCTACACTACTGTAAAGCACAAAGCCAGTGCTCAGTAGTACTTGTGAGTTGAAGAGAAACATTAACTACTCCTTCCAAGCAGAACGGGGCACACTACTGTAACTCCAACACATAGAAATCTCAAGTACACAGGAGGGTTACTGAGTTTGAGGCCAGTCTAGAGTATTCTCTTTGTCTCTCTGTCTCTCCAGAGTTTCTCTCTGTGTAGTTCTGGCTATCCTGGAACTCTCTCTGTAGACCAGGCTGGTCTCAAACTCAGAGATCCACCTACCTCTGAGTTCTGGGATTAAAGGTGTATTCTGCCATTGCCCTGGGAGTTTGTCTTTAAAAACAAAACAAAAACCAAAGGCAAAGCAAACAAGAAACATCCCACAAAAACAAAAGCCTAAAAACTAAATTTAGTTCTAATATCCTGTATTGCTTAGTGTATTTGTTTACATGCATGCCATAGTGTGCAGACTGAGGGCGGGGGCAACTCTTTGGAGTCAGTTCTTTACCTACTTTTGCAGAGCAAGCACTGAGTCACCTGGCAGGTCACTGTCTGTGAGTGTGTGCATGTCTGCAGGTTTGTGCTTGCCAAAGCGCATGTGTGGAAGTAAGAGGATAACTTTGGAATTGGATTCTCTCCTGCCACAGGGTGTATTTCTGGGGCTAGAACTTAGGTTGTCATATTAAGCAGCTAGTGTCATTATCCACTGAGCCATCCTGAAAGTCTCAATTTGTATTTAAAAAAAGTTTCTTAAGATTACTGGCAAGAAGCTGGGTGTGGTGACACTTGTCTTTAATCCCAGAACTTGGGAGGCAGAAGCAGTTGAATCTCAGTTAGTTCAAAGCCAGTCTGGTCTACAGAGTAGTTCCAGGACAGCCAAGGCTACAGAGAAGCCCTGTGTAGAAAAATAAAAGGAAAGACTACTGACAACTCACCTCACCAAGTTTTCCTTAAAATATCCAGCTATTCATCTTAAATATAAACATGTAAGTTATAAACATTCCTTCTCAACATTCTAAACTAAAATACTGATCATTAGACTGTGATACAATATAAGTTATTTTTTAATATTATTCATTTTGTTTAAGAACATTAAACTATCTTATTAGATTTTTAGGGAGTCTAAGTGTCACAAACAGAAGACAGGGATTACAGATAGGTTTGAAATACAAAAATGAGTTGGGCACTGAAGGAAATGTTAAGCGTTTTACCAAAGGTGCTGGCTTGTTAAGATAAGGTGACAAATACTCTGAAGTTAAAACATACAGATTCATGATTACAGGACAACAGGGGAAGTACATTCTATTTTCCCAGCAGAAAGTTCTCAGAAAAGAACCCTTTCCTGTAACTGTGTATAGCCTTACAATACACTATGTTTTTCTCAATGATTAAATTACAAAATGCCAGTTTCATACACATATTAGAGCCATGCAGTACTGGTGTCAATAGTAATACATTTCTATGCATTAGAGAAGAAGAAAATAGAGCATTATGAACAGGTTTTCAAGTTACCTTCTCTTACACTAAAAGGCATAGTGACAACACCATAAGCACTTGGTACACCATACAGACAGCAGATGAAGTCAGAGAGATAGTCTAATACACTTAGATCATGCTCCACCACAATGATGTATCTGAAAAGCAAAACAGATTTTATTTCTAAATTTACCATAACATCATTAGCTAAGACTTTTATATAAATTAATTTTTCTACTATAGTTGTAAATCTCAGAAAAAAGAATAAAAAATATAAAGAACATAGATAGTAAAGCCTTATACAGGCTTATTATTTATGTTCCTATTTAAAGTGTTTTCCTCAGCACAGATTCAACTAAGATGATTTAAAAATCTATTGCTGGAACAGAAACTATCTAGCACTGCAGTGACAAAGCTTTTATGCAGACTTTAGTCTCACCTCTACCTATTTCACATATATCTCCAAAACCAACTTAAAGCATTAGCTTCCTGCATAAAGTCCTCATTTGCATAAATAGAATAATCCCACTCAGAAATATTTTTTTCAGATTTTCAAGAGCTTTTAAATTTTCATGTATCTTACTGTTACTTTATTTATATGCAGAAAAAATTTACAACTTGATGTTTATCTTCTTAATAATGCATTTCTTTATCTTGTATGCTTAAGGGCTACTCTTTTCTTCCTAAACAGTCACTTACCAACATTTTCACGTTTTAAAATCCCACTCAGCTCCTATTTTCTGTTAGGAATACCTTTTCCAATATGCAAATGTATTTTTCCTATTCTTGAAGCCCCTTCTTAAAGAAATTTCTTGCCTTTTTTGTATTCAAATGGAACTAACTCAGGAGTCAAAAGTTCTAATGTTTTAGGAACATAGCATCTGTGTATTCAAGCAAGAAATCTGTGCTATAAAACTATAGACAATATATGCAATAGGAGTTCCAGTTTATTATTTTGGATTTCTTACTGTTTTCTGGAAGATATGATCTTTGAAATTTTTATACCATTAAAGAGTGAATGAATGCATGCTTTGACAATTTCAGAATGGATATATTCTCTGTAGCTTCTTTCTATCAACCTCCCATCACACACGGATTACTAGAACTCACCAGTACACACAGATTGGCACATCCACAAAAGTGTTTTACTCCCTGTTTCTGCTTGGTTAGCTGAAAATGCTACCACTTGTTACAACTAAGGTGTTATCCTCTCTTTCATACCTAAGTCTTACAAAATCTATTTTTATTATTAGTTTTTATAAGATCAGTTCATTCCTGTTATATCTTTCTTTCCTTTTATCTTTTCATTTAACTTAGTTTAAGTGTGGTGTCTTGCTGTTCAGTTTGCCTGAATATCTAGATACTGAAATGTGAGTGGATTGGATATAAATTCCTTTTCTTTTAGCTCTTCTTTTATTGAAGTTACAATATTATTTGCTATTTAAAAATCACAGATGAAAGTAGATATGATCTATGACTAAAAAGGGCTTAGATTAAGAACTACTTTGTCATCTGGCTCTTTATCTTTTAAGTTTGGTATACACAATGTATTCTTTCCTTTACCACTTTAAGTTCTTAAAATACTAGGGTTACAATTTTATACTATTATTTCCCAAAGACTCTCTTAAAATGCTCAAGCATATGTTATAATAATCACATACACGAAGTAAACAGTCTGGCTGTGTGGACAATTAAGTCTCTACTAATAGGAAAATACTCCACTGCATATGGAAAAACAGGACAGCTAAAACAATCCTGGACAATAAAAGAACTTCTGGGGGAATCACCATTCTTGATCTCAAGCTGTACTACAGAGCTATAGTAATAAAAACTACATTACACTGGCATCAAAACAGGTTGATCAATGGAATTGAATCCAAGACCCAGATGTAAATCCACATACCTATGGTAACCTGATTTTTGATAAATAAGTCAGAAATACATAATGGAAAAAAAAAGCGTCTTCAACAAATGGTTATGGTCTAACTGAATGTCAGCATGTAGAAGAATGCAAATAGGTCCATCTCTCTCACCCTGCACAAACCTTACGTCCAAGTGGATCAAAAAACTTCAACATAAAACCAGATACACTAAATCTAATAGAAGAGATAGTGTGGAATAGCCTTGAACACATTTTTTACAGGAGACAACTTCCTGAAGAAAACACTGATAGCACAGGTACTAAGAACGACAATCAATAAATGGGAGCTCATTAAACTGAAAAGCTTCTGTAAGGCAAAGGGCAGTTACTATGACAAGATGGCAGCACACAGAATGGGAAAAGAGCTTTAGATCTTAACTAACCCTACATCTGATAGAGGGCTAATATCCAAAATATATAAAGAACTTAAGAAACTAGATACTGACAAGCCAAACAATCCAATTAAAAAATAGGGTACAGATCTAAATAAAATTCTCAACAGAGGAATCGCAAATGTCTAAAAAACATCATCCTTAGCTACCAGGGAAGTGAAAATCAAAATGATCCCGAGATTCCATTTTACAACTGTCAGAACGACTAAGATCAAAAACTCAACTGAGCCAGGTGATGGCAGTGCATACCTTTAATCCCAGCACTAGGGAGGCAGAGGCAGCCTAGTTTACAGAGTGAGTTCCAGGACAGCCAAGGCTACAGAAAAACCAAAACCAAAACCAAAACCAAACCAAACCAAACCCCTCAAGGGGACAGCTCATGCTAGCAAGGATGTGGAGTAAGGGGACACTCCTCCACTGCTGGTGGGAGTGCAGACCTGTAAAGTCACTTCAGAAAGCAGTTTGGAGGTTTCTCAGAAAATTAGGAATAAATCTACCTCAAGACCAGCTATACCATTCTTGGGCATATACCCAAAGAACACTCTACCATACCACCAAGACACCTGTTCAACTATTTCATAGCAGTTTTTCTCATAATAGCTAGAAACTGTAAACAACTTAGATGACTCTCAACTGAAGAATGGATAAAGAAAATGTGGTACATTTACACAATGGAGTATTACTCAGCTGTTAAAAACAATGACATCATGAAATCTGCAGGCAAATGGCTGGAACTAGAAAAGATCATCCTGCGTAGGTAACCCAGACCCAGAAAGACAGACATGCTGTGTACCCACCTGTAAGTGGATATTAACTGGCAAAGTAAAGGATAATCATGCTATAATCAAAAGCTAAGTTAACAAGGATTGGTCAAAGTGGGACACATGGCTCTCCCTGGGAAAGAGCAGTAGAATAGATGTTGCCGGTGGACTGGGGGCAGGCGGGGATAGGAGCAGGAAGGATCAGATGGGTGAGGGAAGAATGGAAGGAGAGAGTACTGGGAGAGACAACCTGAATCGGGGTGTGGGGTGGGAATTAGGGGGAGGTGCTATAGAAGTCTAGTGTAGTAGAAACTCCCTTAGGGACATCTTCTGGTGATAGGAGATACGGAGCTCAAACTGGCTATTTTCTACGACCAGGCAAGGCTCCTAGTGGTGGGACTTAGACATCAACCCAGCCATGAAACTTCTGACCCACAATTTTTTCTTGCCTGCAAGATGTACTGGGGCAATGGTAGCACAGATCTTATGAACTGGTTAACCAATGTCTGGTCCAACTTGAGGCCTAGGCCATGAGAGAGAGAGCCTATGTCTGACACTGAATGGATGGCCAGGAAAGAGGCAGGACAACCCAGAATAGAACCAAACAGAATTAGGGGGGGAAAAAAGAAAAATAAAGTCAATGAAATGATTCCTAATGATAATCTGCTATACCTGTGGACTGGAACCTAGCATAATTCTCATCAGAGTGGCTTCATCCAGCAACCCATGGGAGTAGATGCAAAGACCCACAGCCAACCACTAAGCAGAGCCAGGAGAATCCCACAGGAGACCCAATAAAGTTACCAGAAGCATCAGGGCAATGATGAATTAAGAAACTTTGAAAATTACAAAGTACGATATTCAACAAATGGTTCTGTGAATGCATCATACAAGTTGTTAAGTCTTTTGTTCAGTGAGATTGTAAATACCATCTTTATGGTGATTATGTGTTAAATATGTACTGTGTTTGTATAAAATTGAGATTTACTTTTGAAGATCTAGTAAAAACTAAGGATGTTTTCCCCAAGTACATACACAAAGATTAGATATACATACAATTTACACAGGACTCCAAAGCATTCACATCGAAACAGTACTTTCCATAGAACTGGAGGTAACAATTGTGAATCTTACACTAAGAACCTTTGTTCTAAGGAAGATAAATTCTAGTGGCTACTATAAATGATCAAGATGAAAATCAAGAATGTTAATATTTAAACATCTGTAAAATTTCCTGAACAGAAAATAGAAACGTACTGGATTTATACTTACCTATCTGGATTTATCAGGGACCGAATAGTAATGGCAGCCTTTAAACGTTGCTTGACATCGAGGTAACTAGAAGGTTCGTCAAACATAAAACTAAGGGAATAAAAGCAAGTCTGAATAACACAACTCCACCATATCCTTTTTAAATAGCACAATAATGGTTCCTAATTTAGCAGAAGGAAAATTAGATGAAGGAAGGAATGAAGAAGGGTACTTGTAATGGTAAAACTCTGTTCTGTTCAGAAGAAGGAAGAAAATAATTCCAAACAGCAGAAATGTATACCTACAAATTTGAGGAGAGCTTTCAAAGACTGGACTGACTTATTAATTGCTACCTTGCCATGAAAAAGTCTGAATGACTTTGAAGAGCCCTTTTCTTTCTGTTCTTAAATTGTATTTACTATGTGTGTTGAGGGGTGCCACTGTCTGCATGTGGAGATTGAAGGAAAACTTGCCTGTGTTGGTTCTCTCTTTCTACTTTGTGGGTCTGGGGTAGGTCTTGGTGTCAGGCCCCTATTCATCTGCGCCATCTTCCTGGCCTTAAAGAGCCATTGTCTTAATAGGCTCAAGTCCAAGGGCTTTAAAGCAGAGGGTGGCAAAGACAGGGCTTGATTATACACCAGCGCAGCAACACAGAAAAACATGGGGATAATAAATATCCAATAGGAGGAAATACTAGGAAGAAGGAAGGAGACTAGCCTTTTTTTATTCCATTTCTCCTTCACAGAGAATGCCATCCTGATATTGACTACTTTAAAGACCGTCTTTTACTCAAGATATTTAGAAAGCTTACTAACTTCAATTGGAGAGCTTAAGTTTTAAGTAAGGTATAAATTACTACTCATAAAAGCAAAGGACAGATTATAGGGGAAGTGGGTCATGGAAATACATTTACTTTTTGGAATATGTTTACTTTAACACATCACCTCAACGTCAATGGTTTCTGATTTAGCAGAACCCTTTTTAATCAAATCCTTAAATGTCTCTTATTTCTTTCAAGATTACTGCTGAATTAACAGCATTACAAATACAAACGCACAAAGACTGAAATACACAAAAAGTGTAAAGTAACCTACATATCAGCTTTTTGTATGCAAACGACAGCACAAGCAAATCTCTGCAATTCTCCTCCTGAAAGATCTTCGACATTTCGTTCTTTAAGGTGAGTTAAATCTACAAAGAATAATCAGAAGCATTGTGTTCAATGTTATAAACTTCATTTCACATCTTCTGGGCAGAATGCACACACTGCATGTCATGACTCTAGGTCTGAATGATATTCCGGTTTAAAACTGTGTAGTTTAACAATAAAATAATTACTAAAGCTTTCCTCATGAATTTGGCAACCCATAACACATCAAGAGGATTATGACCAAGCGTAGTTTATTAAAAGCATATACTTAAATACTTACCAAGCTGCTGACATACAATTGCTTGTGTCTTTGTTTCATCTTTTCGGTCCAGAATAGAGCCCACTGTTCCCTGTCACAACAGAAAATTATCTTCCTTTCAAAAATTCACAAAGTAAAATAAGTCTATTTTGATAGAACTTTTATCCTCCTACAAATAATCTATAATCTATAACTTCTATCTATAAACAAACTGACCTTTGCAGCCTTGGGAATTTGGTCTACATATTGAGGTTTGATAATGGCTTTTAGGTCATCTTCTAGAATCTTGGTGAAGTAATTTTGTAATTCAGAGCCACGGAAATAAGTCAAAATCTCTTGCCAATCAGGCGGATCCTAGAAATATAATAGTTTTGTGAGTTAAAGATAAAATCACAAAGGGGACAGTTTCTAAATAAAATTAAACATATATCTCAACAGAGGCCTTCTAGTTTAAGATGGAAGCAGACTTAGATACTAACTCAAAGTTTAAGAGAATTATGAATTTCAGTTAAGCAACACTAACATCTTAATTTTGAAGGGCTGGAACACAAGACTTGTCACATACACACAAGCAAATGATGACACCAAGAAGAAAGACATCAGTACTGGGAGGCTGAGTTCAAGGTCCTCTGAGGCTACATAGATAAGATAGTAACAGCATGTCTTAAAAACAAAACTAAACCAACCCAAACTTGAGACATAATACCTTTGAACTGAACTAAACTGAACTCCACAAATTAACTTTAAAAAAGTTAAAAAAAGAACATTGAAAAAAACTTATACCCATCACTCTCATAAAAAAATTCATGAAATACCTAAACATTAATTTCCATAATCTTTAATACATACATCGTACTTTCCAAGGTTTGGCTTTTGCTTTCCTGCTAAAATTTTTAGTGCAGTCGACTTTCCAATACCATTAGTTCCAACTAATCCCAAAACTTCACCTGGACGAGGGATAGGCAACCTATTATGATATAGGAAAACAAAACAAACCAAAACAACTTTGTGTTAGATGGAAAACGTACACAACAACCGAATGATGTATTTTAAGCACTTGTATGCCACTAATAAGCTAAGAAATATATGCTAAGCATTAGTGGCTATTAGTGAAGAGAAAACAGCCAAGAGACACTGTTAGAAATGAATCCATAATAAATAAAACTCTAAACTTTATCAAGTTCTTTATCAAAAGTAACTTTTTTCTTTATAGTTAAGGCTCAGCTTTCATGTTTTGGTAAAAATTTCACAGCAGGTACAATACCACATTGTCATTTTTCCCCTAATCTCCTGTGGTTGTTGGCTCCTTAAGAGCTGGCAGAGTGAAAATATCTTTTAATTAATAAAACCTAGACTTTCAGATTCAGTATATAAATGAATATTCAGCAGATAAAAGTAAGGAGTAAGGCTGGGCCGGGCACACCACTAATTTCAGCACTCAGGAAGCAGACAGGCAGATCTCTGAGTTCAAGGCCAGCCTGGTCTATATACATAAGTTCCAGGACAGCCAGGGCAATACAGAGATACCATCCTGAAAAGCCAAAAAGCAATAAGGACTTAGTGACTTAATATGAGGCTCAAGTCAGTATAGCATTTCCTGTGGGACATAAGGCTACTCAGTAATTAAAAACAAAGCAACTTTCTTTAAAGATTATTTGCCGTAAGGGTACTATGAACCACTGTCAACTGTGATCATATTTTAGAATTTAAGAGTTTTTAGCTTCCCGACATTTAGTTTCTGAGTCTTCACGACATAATTCAACTGGGCATGTGTAGTTGCTTTAAAGTCCCTCAGAAACTAATTCTAATATTAACTAGCATGAACTGCTGCCATTTTTTGCTTGTTTTGAGATAGGACATCACTAAGTAGCCTAGGCTGGCCTTAAGCACACAGAAATGCCTCTGCCTCTTGAGTGCCAGGGTTACAGACATCTGCTACCATGTCTGGCAACTGCTGACATATAAATTAACCTTGCATTTGATAATATTCTATTACTTTTTGGTAGATGGGCAATATTACTTTCTTTCTTTCATATTCTGAAAACTCTTCAGGGAATTTTACCCGTGACTGAAGTAAAGAGGAATTACCTGTGAAGCTTGAAGGCATTGGCACAATAGCGATGTGTGGTTTCTTTTTCCAAGTTGCTTGGCAAATTGACAATTGATAAGGCGCCAAAGGGACATTTCTGTTATTTAAAGTAAAGAATCACATATTAACTTATAAAATAAATGAATTAACAATATTATTGATCTTTCAAGCATGAGTTTTACAAATATGAGAAATAATTTACTTAAAAATAAAAATCAAGTTCCTTGAAGATTACAGCTGAATAGACAATATTTTTTAATATTCTTCATGACTGATACAACCTAGACATTGTTCAACGGTTTCCATAATCTGTCTGTAACAGATGTTTTCTTTCCCTTACATTACTCCTGTCCTTGTTTGCTTCTTTCCTATAGATAAAGTCTTTTAAGTTGTCTTGATTTTATCACTTGGGGGGGGAGGATTATATCTATACCACCAACAGATAGCCTATATATTGGATCAAAGTTTATTATTTGATTATCAGATAAATGTCCACAGAACAAGAATGGCCAAGTATAAGGAAGTCACTAAGAACGGCGGGAGCATGAAGGCCGGGAGACGGCTCAGCTGTGTTTAACACTGAGTTTAGATAGATCTCCAGAATTCATGTAAAAAGCTACGCATAGCAGTGTGTTCCTAAACTCTCAAGAGTTGGAGGTAGGAACAGGAAGACTCATGGGGCTTGCTGAGCAGTCAATGTAGCAAGACTAGTGAGGTTTAGATTTAGTGGGAGACCTTCTGTTTTAAAAAAGAATGGAGTAGAAAAGAAAAAAGGAAAGAGCTGAACACCTTTAGTCCCAGCACTGGGGAGGCAGAGACAGTTGGATTTCTATGAATTCAAGGTCAGCCTGGTCTATAGACTGAATTCCAGGATGGCCAAGGCTACACAGAGAAACCCAGTCTCAACAAACAAAATAAAACAAAAATGAATGAATGAGGGACGTGATCAAGAAAAACACCTGGCTTGTGACTTCTGGCCTCTGTACACACACCTACGCAAGCACACATGCACATTAAAGAAAAAAACAACAGTAATGTGGCCAGAAAAGCATCTCTAAAGATAGAGACGGAACCAGGAAGGACAAGGTCAGACCTCAGCTCTGTTCGGAAGACGTGTTCAGTGAGCTGAAGGATCTGATTCAGAGAGTCCAGTGAATCTTCATTTCAAACTGAGAACATAACAAATTAAGGAAAAACAATTGTTTTCTAGTAACTTTTGACCCTTTAGCCATACTACTAAACTTTTACAACTATATTTCATACTCTGCTCTTTTCATCAATGCAGGCTACAGGTGATTTTAAACTCTTATGTGACTTGAAAAATAAATTCACACCATTTAAAAATAATGTGGATTACTCAATGTTTAGGATGTGTGTACTACCCTTCTGCCCATCACCAAGAGTTTATTTAATTGATGTTTTAGGCATTCAGATGCACACCTAAAACCTTGGAATACTATTTTCTTATAGTATTAAAAAAAAAAAAAACACACCCAGAACAGATGATACTGTAATGTTCACACCAGATTTCTAACACCCAGCATATAGGCAGGCACACATGATGAAGGATTAGTCAGTATTTGCCAGGAGTAATAATTCCTGCTTATGGTTTTCTTTTTTTCTTTTTTCCGAGACAGGGTTTCTCTGTGTAGTCCTGGCTGTCCTGGAACTGACTCTGTAGACCAGGCTGGCCTTGAACTCAGAAATCCGCCTGCGTCTGCCTCCCAAGTGCTGGGATTAAAGGCGTGCGCCACCACCGCCTGGCTTATGCTTTTCAAAATAGGAAAAACTACTTGCAGAATCCATGTAACTTTTCTGGATACTTGAATAAGGTCTCAAAAACAAATATAAAACACTTATGGTGTATATGTTCAACAATTTATAGGGAAGTTTTCAAACTCTGGTGAAGTTCCTTTTTATATTACCTATAAATAAAAATATGTAAGAACTTTACATATCAGTTGCTAAATCTCTCTTATAAGTTGGAAATTTATCCAATTCCAAATAATGTCAATTATTCAATGTAACAAAATTTTGATGCTTAAAATTATACTATTGGGATAAATACAATAGATACATATATGAGACATAGTAAAGCATTTTTAGATTAAATTTAAGATATTTTAGGTGTATTTCTACTTGAGAGTGGTAAATTTAAAATTTGAGACAGGTATAGCGTACCTGTTTACCCGTCTGTGAAATTGTTGTTTTTCTTTTTTATGATCTCAGTTTGAAATGAAGATTCACTGAACTCTCTGAATCAGTTCTCTAAAGGTACATGCCTTTAATCCCAGCATTTGGGAGGTAGAGAAAGATGGATCTCTAGTAGTTCAAAGCCAGTCTAATCTATATAGCATATTCCAAGTCAACTGGAGCTACACAGAGACCTGTTTCAAAATGAAAATAGACTTGAAAAAATATAATGCCAGCTATACTTTTATCTCTAAATATTTCTGGAAAAGATGTGTTCCAACATTTTTGTATAATGAAGAGCTCAATACAGAGAAATAAACTGTTTAGAAATATTTTTATCTAGCTATATATGATGACTTATTTTAACGTTTATTATTAGTGTGTGTGCACGTATGTACACACACCAGGTGCATTATGAGTGTATGTCTGTCTGTGTGCTCTTTTTGTGTGCATGCCGTGGTGCATTATGTGGATGTCAGAGGACAAATACGAGTTGGTTCTCTCTACAGTTAGGTGGGTTCCTCAGTTCAACCTCAGGTAAATCAGACTTGTTCAACGAGTGCCTTTTTCTTCCAGGACATCTCACTGACCCAGTAACTTCTTAAAGGTGTGTTTTTGGGCTCTCTGCTCCTCCCAGGTCCAGAGACAGATGCACCTTCTTATGCAATGCCAGCCTTGTCCCTGAAACATGATGGTGAAGGTTGGAGTGACTGCATGTTTGCCAGCAACATGCAACACAGGGACTGTTGCTCTCAATGATCTCATTGAACTCGACTACATGCTATCCAATGTTCCAGTGTGATTATAACCATGGTACTTTCTACAGCAGTCAAGGCTGGGAATGGGAAGCTTTTCATTGATAGGAAGGCCACTTCCATCTTCCAGGAGTGTGATCTACCAACATCAACAGGGTGATGCTGGTGCTGAGGATCCCATAGGATCTTGATAACCATGGAGAAGGCCGCAGACCACTCAAAGGGTGGAGCTGAAAACGTCATCATCTCTGCTGATGCCCCTATGTTTGTGAAGGGCATTAACCTTAAGGATAAACTCACTCAAGAGCATCAGTAATCCTTTCACCACCAACAGCTTAGTCTCCATGGCCAAGACCATCCACTACAACTTTGATATCACTTTAGGACTCAGAACCATATAGTCCATACCATCATTCCACCCAGACTATAGATGGTCCCCTGGGAAACTGTGATGATGGACATGGGACTGCCTAGAACATCCCTTTTGCATACACTGGCTTCACCAAGGCTGTGGGCAAGGTCCTCACAGAGCTGAGTAGGAAGCTCACTGACATGGCCTTCCATAGTCCTACTCCTGATGTGTCCATAGTAGATCTGACCTGCCACCTGGCGAAAGCTGACAAATATGACATCAAGAAGGTAGTGAAGCAAACAGTGGAGGGAAGTCTAAAGGACATCTACTCGGGGTTATAATGAGGACCGGGTTGTCCCCTGTGACTTCAATAGCAGAACTACTCCTCTTTCATCCTTGGGCTGGGACCAACACTAGTTTCAACAGCCACTTTGCCAAGCTCATTTTCAGGTTTGACTTTGAATTTGATGAATTTCATAGTCCATGTGATCTCCAAGGAATAATGAATCCCAAACTACCCACCTCAGCAGGAACAAGAGAAGAGAGAAGTTGCTGTGGAGTTCCCACCCTAAACTAATGCCCGACACACTATTTCTCCATCACAGTTCTTATGTTAGATGTCCTCAAAAGAATGAGAGGGGCTTAGAGAATCCTACCATCATGCAAACCACCATTAATGTTCATTGTAACTCCCAAGTAAATAAGTAAATAAAATAGTTTAGTTTAGGGGCCACCAAGGTTGTACAGTAGGTAAAGGTGCCTGCCACCAAGTCTGCTAATCTGGGTTTGATCCCTGGAACCTACATTGTACAAGAACTGACACCTGCATATTGTCCTCCAATCTCCACATGGACATTATGGCACAAGTGTACCCAAACATGAGCATACACACATGCATGCACTCTCAAGATTACAAAATAAAAGTAAAAAGGTAGCTGGGTGGTGGTGCATTTGGGAGGCAGAGTCAAGCAAATCTTTGAGTTCTAGGCTAGCCTGGTTTACAGAGTGAATTCTAGGATGGCCAGAGTGGTCTATTAATTTAAAAAAACAATAATGTGGGGTGGGGGGTGAAGCAATAATGTTGTCCTAAGAATATTACTTTCTTAAACTTATTTTTAACTTATCTGCCCTATACTTTGGTCTTTTAAAAATTTTTTAAAGTACTTAAAATTTTCACATTTCATTTCTGATTCAATAAACAAATATCACTTACCTTAATACAAATACCACATCCAATACAAAGAGTTTCAGAAATCCATGCTATTTTGCTCTGGGGTGTAACTTCTATGCATAATTTTCCTAGCAAAGAAAAATAATTTCCTTTATCTATTAGAACACTTTTAAGATTGGTATTCAGAAAATGCCTCTTCCAAAGTCTCACCCAAAAGTTTAAATGATAATGATTTAAGTCAGAGTTTGGTGGGACAGACTCTGAATTAAATACCCAGGTTTATTAATTATGTATCCTTATCAGGCAGTAAACAAATGGCCAATATATTTTGTCTAATTCCAGTAAAATATGGTAAAACTTGAAACAATATTATGTGTAAGTTGACTGACTTCAATTTGTTTTTGGTGCCTTGGATGCAATCTCTAACTGACTCATAAAAGAAAGCATGTCTTAGCAATGAAAGGCACACCACAGACAGAAATAAAATATTTCAGTGAGGTTAAATGAAGCCATAAAAAGCAGTGCAGTTTTCTAGCACACAGTCACAATTTTAAACACAGTAGTTGAGACATCAACAACTGAATTTCTGAACCATGAGAGATACTAACAGGTCACACCTACAGGTTCTCTTCCGATTTGGGAAGTCTAGAAGTCACTACTATAGGGCAACAGTCATACACCATAACACCAAAGACTGTCAGTAACTTGTCACCTTTGAATTGCTACATTTACTCCATCTTGAAAATCCAGCAATGCACCACAAAATGACTGTCATAAAACTTGAAATTATTTTTATTTTTTGGTTTCAGGATGAGAACAATATCTAACAAAGATCCTGGCAATCCTTTTCCTGTGACTCATTTATAGAATTTTGTAGAACAGCAAAGATTACAGTAAACTTTGGTTTCACTTTTTATATTTTCCGAATATCTTAACAATGACATTCTATAATTTCTTTCAAAGGGACCATTTAAAAACTATAAAAGTTTAGAATTCTAAATGTCTCACTTGTGTAGCTCAAAGAAAGCAACAGTGATTAACTAACATAGTATGTGCTAAGCCCCTAGGAAACTTCCAAACCCATCTACTTTCTACTCTTGGATGCGACAGAGCCACTTACCCATCCGAACCACAGGGCAACTCTTTTTGCACTCCTGCCGACATTTCTTAGGTTTGCATTTGTCGTGGTTAACAATAGCAATTCTGGTTAATTTGTCTGCCATAATTGTAACAAAGAATATCCAGCTCTTCTATTAAAGAGAAATAAACAAAATTATAGCAAATTCTATATAATATAAAGAGAAATAATTTATGGGCATAAAATGAGGACACATATAATCATACGGAGTTCCTATGTTGACTTCAAAAAATAAAAAAATATTAGGAACAGAAAAATAGTCTATTCAGTTTGGAAAGCAAAATTTTACACAATGAAGTTAGATTACAAAATAGGTGCCACTTAAAATATCACAAAAAATTCCTAGAAAGAGACATCATATATACACAGAAGAAAATGCTCAAAAATACTAGGTCACAAAAGACCTAACCAAATAAATTACGTTATCTCAGTTTTTATAATAAAAAGTTAGTATCAAAGAAATTTAAGTCTTCTGAAATTTATATATACAATTAAATCTCTTTGGTGTAAATAAGCCATATAAACCAAAGCTCTTCTGGGAAACAAAATAATCAGGAAGCTTAAAACAGCAAGAATGGGAACCTAACACATGACAGGTTAAAAAATTATATAAGTTCCAATAATTAATACTGATCCCAAGTATACTCATACATCTATAAAACAGACTATACATGAACACACCCACACTGTCTCTAAAGATTTCTCTTCTTTTCTCCTCTAAACCAATCATGAATTTATTTTCTTAGCCAACTGACTATTGCGTCTGGTGCACTAACATTAACTCCCTCATGTGACTAAACGGATTAAGCACTTCACAGTGCTTATCTCCAAATCTAAATCAGAAACCGACCAACACTATCCATCTGCAAAGATACTATGCTGACCTCTTCTGGGATCCACAATTTACAGGTCACTCACGTGAGCAGACCTGGAGGGTCATAAGCAATCCTGCTCCTCAATGTTGTCCTACACTATCTCCTCTTCCTCCCGAAAATCAGGCTTCCCTCTTAGACCTAAATGTTTTCATCATCTACAGACTACAGACCACTTCCTTTCAAACCGGTAAATGCTTTACTTTGTTTTGGTAGAGGTGAGAGCTAAGCTATACTAAATGAAAAACAAAACAAACAAACAAAAAACCCAAAAACTAAAACCAAAACCTTAACTGCTGTGCTGACAAAATCATTTCTTTAAAAACTTATCCAGGTCTACTAAGTTTAACTTAGAAAGTAAATGATTTTACTTTACCTCAAAAGCTTATTTCAAACCTCAAACCAAACCACATAATTTTCTAGGAAAGTGACTATTTTAGCAAACAAACTAATAAACTGGGCACCACGAATTCCAATACAAATAAAAAATGCTTTTCTACAAAGTATTTGGTAAATGAAAGTATTTCAGAGATAGAGTTCTTTCACTATGAAATTGCTTACGTTGGTCTTTATTTTTGTGAAGCTACTAAAACAATTTTCTTAAATTAAAAAAGATAAGTCTATAATAAACATTTATGGGGAACAGAAAGATACTAGAAGTGACTAATGAAGTTTATTCACCTAGTAAAATAACAAATTATATTACACTTAAAAATACAGATTTTTTGGATAAGTTACATAGATGAAGATAATTTGTTCAACTTCCATATTATTTCCAAGAATTAGCGAAAAGGAGTTCCCTTCTTTCCAATAAGAAGCTTAAAGAGGAATATTATAGAAAAAACTTTAGGAATACAAAAAGATCTGAAAACATTTCAGATTCGAAGGCTGACTTCAAAGCAGGAACTATTAAACCAGGGACTCTGGTATGTCTTCTAGGTGAGTGAAAAGATGGTATGCATGGAAAACATTTACAGTCTTAAGATCACATGAAATATTATGACCTATGCTTACTGTAAATTAGCCCTATAAAGCATAAGAAGTTGGGAAAGGCACATAGCTTTGATTTTAATGGATCTCTCCTTTCAGCAACTGCTAAATGTTTTTCTGAAACACATTTTTGTCTTTGTTGTTTCATTTATAGAGGTGAGCTAAGCTATGGTATGAAAAGATAAAACCTTAAACACATTTTGGCTCAAAAATATTTAAACTCTTGATTATAGTGAATACATTATCAACTGACAGACACTGAGTGACTACTTTCAGCATACAGGACCATTGGCTACAACACAAATGTTACTATCCTAATTCCAAACTCCCTAGTTAGTACTCCCTTGGAAGAAAGAGTAGACCAATAAAAGCTGTTTGACAGCTATTCCTTAGTTACCATTTTTACCATCAAAAAAGAGAAAACACTTATGCAGGTCTTGGGACGTAGAAATTCAGCGTTGATCATCATTTATTTGCAACAAATACTAAATATCTACAATGTATTAAACCTAGAAAGGCTATCTAAAGACATTTTGAATAAAGACACCATCCCTGATGTCAAGACGCCTAAGATGTAATAAACGAAAAAAACAGATTAAGTCACTATGGGAAGAGGACATGGTGCTACAAAGTACCTCTCCAAAGTCCTAAAAGACAGGCACTCAACTCGGAAATTCACTTGGGCTAACCCCAGTCACAACTGAGAACACATCGCTCTACAAGAAAGGTAGGACCGACGTTTGGCTATCATTTCTATAAAGTCTGGGACTGTACTAGGAGTACTGGACTTCATGGCGGCAAGATGCCATGACTCACGCCGCAATTATTAAAAAACCACGACTTCTTACAACCAAATGCCAACGTAGCCATTTGACTGTGAGGGGAAGCTTGGGGGATCTGCGTGGTGCGGTCGGTTCTAAGGGTGTCTTCCTCCACAGAAGGGTTAGCTGAAGGATGGAAGCGGGGGTAAGGGGCAGTGGAGGGTGGAGCGCAGAGGCTACGGCATCTGGGACCGTTCTCTTGGCAGCTGGCCGTGTTTGGTGTATAGAAGCCTCGAGGCCGGGATGGCTGAACGGACGCGCGAGGAACGCTCCGGCAGTCCCAGATGTATAGCTGGAGCCGGTTGCCACGCGCCACGGTCCACGCTATTGAGGCCTAACTACAGGCGCTCGGAGAGCGTCCCTAAAAGTCTTCCCAAGGTGGCAGTCGGCCACCGAACACCAACCCCTCCCACGAACTTCCGTACCTGAAGACAACGGTCCCCTTACAGTGGGGCGTGCAGGAGCCAAAGCAGCGCTAGCCGTCAGGTCTTAGCACTCAGCGTGTTCTTACCGCCACCGGCCAAGATGGCGGTGCACAGCCGCCGCCTCGCGCAAGGCATGAGGGGGTAGTGCGCGTGCGCGACAGAGCGCAGAGTCGGCGCCCTGGAGAGAGTGAGGACGCTGTGACGTCATTGTGCTGCGACGCCAATTAACTGAGGGAACCTAGAACCACTGAGTCGCAGTGGGAGTGGCGGGGACCCTGAGAACCGGAATTGTGGCGAACCAGGTGTGTAAGACCGCGGCTCTTCCTCGATTTAGGGAACCGTGTGTTTGCGGGCGCAGATGAGTTCTCCCTAGTCTCGGGAGCGTTAGGCTTGCTGACTCCTCAAGCTTTGTGGGCCTTGCTAATCTGGTAAGACGGGCGGGGCAGGAACCCAAGTCTAGTTCTCAGCTCCTTCAGATTTATTCTTTAAGGCCAGGAACTCATTTCTGCCCTATCGTTTTGTTTCATCCACTTGGCTGTTGTTTGAAGTCTCTTCCAGTGTCGAGATGGCCCCCCCAACGCGCATCCCCGATGGCAGGGATTCAGGCTTTAACGGAATTTATAATGTCTCTGTGATTACGTAAATTATAAGCTATTATTGATTGTGCGGCGGCTATAGGGATTGCTTGGAATCCAAAGGGACGTGTCAAGGCGATGGTCTATGTATTGGTCTTGCAACAAAACTTTATAGAAGTTATTGTAAATAAATTTACAATAACGTAGAGTATCCATAAAGGTCACCGAAACAATTTAACATGTTCTTGACTCTCTAAGAAGCTTTTTTCATAGATTTACTAGATTTACTAGGATTAACAAAAGGTAAGAAGGATGAAAGGAATATGAGTGATTATTTTGCCATTGAAAATTGCAAATCTTTTGATTTTTTTGAGACAGGGTATTGATAAGCTATTTCTCTGCCGTCAGTGAAATGAGCCAATTTAAGCCAGATTAGATTATATTAAACACAGGTTTATTGGGAAGCTGCTCTTAGTTGGGCGAGTTCACTGGCCCCAAGGACCAAAGCCAGGGAAGTCTCCATGGGAAAAGTGGGGAGGTAGGGGAGAGAAAAAGAGAAGAAGGAAGTGAGCTTACGCAGAGAGAGAAGTGGAGAAGAGGGAGAGAGACCAAAACATCTGGATTATATAGGGAGGAGCTTCTAGGGAAAGGCCTTCCCAGCCAGCCCCTGGGCTGGAAAGCTCAAGGTTTCGGGCAGGATATGCCAGGTAGGGACTGAGGGATGCTAGCAGAACCTAGAAGTCAGGTCTGCTTTGGTATGTAAAATATACAGCTCAGTCTCTCGTCCCATGTCCAAAACTTAAACAGATATCTCTATGTAGTCCTGTAGTCCTGGAGTTCACTGTGTAGGCCAGGTTGACCTCGAACTCAGATTCTTGTGCTTTTGCTGCTGCCTTTGTCTTTCCACGTACTAGGATTAAAGATATGTGCCACAATGCTGGACGCTGACATTTTGTTTTTACTTTTTTGCAGAAATATTCTTATGACATGGTAGAATGTATATTGCTTGTCTCTCCATAGAATAATTTGAAAATGACCACACCGAACAAGACACCTCCTGGTGCTGATCCTAAGCAGTTGGAGAGGACAGCAACAGTCAGGGAAATTGGGTCTCAGGCCGTTTGGTCACTCTCTTCTTGCAAACCAGGTAGGTAAAACAAACCCCCAGGCTATGATAGTCATTGCTTACAATTGATCTCTCCTCTCCTCGCCTCTCCTCTCCTCCCCTCCCCTCCCCTCCCCTCCCCTCCCCTCCCCTCCCC